TGAGCCACAGCACCACTTCCAGCTTTTTTCTTTTTGCTTATGTGGTGCTGAGGAATCAAACCCAGGGCCTCATGCATGCAAGGCAAGTGCTCTACTACTGAGCCAGCTTCGCAGCGCATCTTGTGGTCTTTAATTTGTTAGAGTTGAAAAAAATATCTCACCCATTCAAAAAATAGCTTCTTCTTTTCATTAAAAGGCTCAATATTGTCGGGCACCAGTGGCTCACGCCTGTAATCCTAGCTACTCAGGAGGCTGAGATCTGAGATCACAGTTCAAAGCCAGCCTGGGCAGGAAAGTCTGTGAGACTTTTATCTCCAATAAACCACTAGAAAACTGAAGTGGCGCTGTGGCTCAAGCGATAGAGTGCTTGCCTTGAGCTGAAGAGTGCAGGAACAGCACACAAGCTCAGAGTTCAAGCCTCACGACACCCCCCCCCCAAAAAAAAGGCTCAATATCAGTAGTAATAAAACTTAAACCAGTGATATATACATCTTGGGCTGGAGGTATAGTTCAATGACCAAGAGCTTAACTAGTGTATATAAGGCCTAGGTATGATCTTTAGTAAATACATACCCCACACTCACAGCTCCCCAACTGCCTGCACAGATTATAAAACTGTGACTAGGGGCTGGGAAGGTGGCTCAGTGGTAGAGTGCTTGCCTTGCAAAACTGAGGCCCTAGGTTCGATTCCTCAGCACCACATAAAGAAAAAAGAAAAAAGCCGGAAGTGGTGCTGTGACTCAAGTGGTAGAGTGCTAGCCTTGAGCTGAAGAGCTGAGGGACAGTGTCCAGGCCCAGAGTTCAGGCCCCACGACCGGACCCAAATAAATAAATAAATAAATAAAACTGTGACTAATACCAATTGTAGTAATCACCTACTGAGTTATACTACGTGCTATGGTCAACATTCTAAATGCTTAAAAATTCACTATTAACTATTCTGTGAAGGCTCCTATTTTATAGCTGAGGCTTATTAAATAACCAGTTTATCTTTAGTCAGGGCTTAATCTATATACACATAATATCAGGCACCTCACAGTCATCTTTTCTCAGTACTCTTCAACATAACCAGGCAAAGGTGAAGTAGAAGCAATCACTACCCCATCTTATATGTGAAGACACTGAAATGCAGATGGAAAGCTAAACTAGCCTGCTGAGAGATACACAACTGGTTAAGGAGCTTTGATGCTAATCTTTGTCTTTAGAATCAAGCCCTTATAGTAATGCTACATTGTCTTATAAATAACCTTTCACTCAGTCTTCCTCTGCAACCTAATGGCATGGGCCTGTGCCAGGCACTGCTCTTCTTTATAGTGTGAGTGCACTGCCAGCAGGTGAAGAGCTGGCCTGACTGCACCCATCCAAGTCCGACTCCAGAGCTATGTTCTTCCCGATGCTGTTTCACAAGGCAGCACAGGGATACCATTGAGAAAATCTGTGGTTTTGTTTTAATTTGACTTAATGACATAGTCCTTTTCATAGATGACTATGATTACTTTAAAAAAATTAGGCCAACTTGCAAAATTGCTAAATCATCTTAGAGACAGGCTAAGTTAATTAGACAAAAAACTTCTGCTGGAAACAACACAACCTGCTATCTCAAACACTTCCCTAGGATACCTATTATTCTGAGAAAATGTTAATACTAGTCTTAAGAATCTTGGAGGAAAAGGAAAAGAGCTAACATATAACTATGAACATTCCCCAAATGGGAAGTACAATCTGTTTCCTCACTATCATAAACTGGGACCACAAAAGCTAACAAGAACATCAGTGGTAAAGAGGCACACAGCATCAGAATGGCTCAGAAAGCCCTCAAGTTACACATTTAGCTGAAAAGAGTTTAAGATTTGAGGTGCTCTAGAAGCCTGAGGAAACAAAGAGGAACCTTCTCTAGAGAAAGAGTTTCATCCAAGATGTCAGATTATTTCTACTAGTATTTTCTAGGGTCAAAAGCTAAGCAGAGAGGAGGTGGGGTAGGGAGAGTAGAGGGGGGCGGGGGAAGAGCTAAGTCACCCAAAATGACCAAAATGAGAACCAAAAATGAAAGGGAGAAAGACAACAAAAAGAGGCCAAAGACATTCAGACCTAGTGGCGACTGAACACAAAATAAGTACCTTTACTATACATACACATGTAAACAAATTAAATAGACCTACAAAAGCTACATAAAATTTTTAAAGGAAACGACCAGAACTAGGTCTTATTTTAAAACACTAGATAGAAGTTCTATGCTACCGCCTCCAGAAAAAATAAGCAAAAAGTTCAGACAGTTTTAAGAATACCTGAGTGAGCTGTAAGACTGACCAGATCTAATTATTCAAAATCTAGTACAAGAAGAAAAAACAAAGTACAAGGGAAGTTATGGGCCCTGGAAGGACAGAAAGAAAAGTGTTTTATTTATTTCACTGAAGATCCAGATGAGAGTAAAATAATAATGCAGAAGTAATATATCTGACCTAAAGATTGTCTAGAAATAATGAAAGATACTAATTCACAGATTTATGAACGCCAATAAATCCTAAGCATGATTTAAAAAAGAAATACAATATTACTCAGGTGCTGGTGACTCAGGCCTGGATATTGAGGTACCTGAGTTCTGGAGGATCGTGTTTTTTTTTCTGTTAGTCATAGGGGCTCTAACTTGGGGTCTGGATGCTGTCCCTGAGCTCTTGGCACAGGCTTAGTGCTCTACCACTTTGAGCCACAACTCACTTCTAGTTTCCCGGTAGCTCATTGGACATAAGAGTCTCACAGACTTTCCTGCCCAGGCTGGCTCTGAACCATGAGGATAATGGTTTTAGGCCAGCTGGGGCAGAAAAGTCTTGAAGACTTCATTTCCAATTAACCAGCAAAATGCAAAATGCCAAACTGGAGGTATGGCTCCAGGATAGTGCACCAGCTCTGCACAACCAAGTCAAGCAAATGTTCAAGGTCCTGAGTTCTATCTCCAGTACTACCCTACCCCACAAAAAGAATACATATTTAGATTTATGACAGCAAAACAGAAGAACACCAAAGACAGCAAACTGAATTAAAAGTAGATAACCATCACAACACAAAAAGGCAGCATTTCTCTAGAGCTTATACTTTAACAAAGACTCACTTTAAGTAATGATTCTATCTATTGGTGTCTTCACACAAAATAATGAAGTCAGGAAAGTCAAGGCATCCTAGGCTAAGGCAACTGGAAACCTATGACCCTTTCGGTGGCATGCTCCAACTTTTAACGGTTTAATATAAAAACAACGTATTTCTCTTCCTTCATTTTTATAGTATTTCCTAAGTGCATACTAATATACCCATTCTTCCCCATTCATTTTTTTAGATCTAGTACAAGATGACTGAATTGCCATTTTCATGTAAACAACAGGAAGTGCCTTGACTAACATCGCACAGCTGTGCCATGTTGAACTAAAATTTGAACTCAGCCTGAATCCTTTAAATACAACTCCCCTCTGCCATCTCCCTCCCTTCTTTGCTGTTGCATTGAAACTATCAGGAAGAACAGCATCATTCTAAATGTCACTTTCTTACTGACAGTGAAGACTGACTGTATTATGAAGACACAGTTAAGATTCCAGGGAGTTTTCTAACATACTGAATAATACCTGAGTAAAAACATAGCAATCAAACTTTTGTAACAAGGTCCTAGGAGTCTCTGCTAGTTTGATATGTGTGTCCTTTCTTGTAATGTCAGCTGTTGCAAACTATCTTTAAAGAAATGACTAAACTCTGAGGCAGCATACTTCATCTTCTGGATTATATTACTATATTACTAATATATTAATTATAAGGCTATATAGATTATTGTTATTTAATTAACTAGGTTACTCTGTATAATTCAAAGATCTACTGAGAACCATTAGCTAGCTAAGTTTCTAATCTCATCTTGATCTGATCACTAATGCAGTGGGTCAGTTATTGACTTGGTAGCCCACAGAATTTGAGGATGAATCTAAGTTGTGTTCTAATGATTAGTTGTGTAACTAGTTACACAGCTGAATGCTGGGTTAGTGACTACCCTTTTGAAGCCTCAATTCCCTTTTCTATAAAATGAGGATAACATAAGTACCTACGTATCCACTCCCTAGAGCTATAAGAGGCACATATTAACTGTTTTATAAATATTACTTATTATTGGTACAATTAATAGTTTTTATCAACCAGAAAAACCAGCTTTGCTAAGCTACTTCATCTAGAAAATGAAGAAGAAAGGCAGGCTCCTAAGTCTTCTAAGATAATTGACTTCAAGCAGTGTGGTTTCACTTTTTCTCAACCATCTTCTTTGCTTCCGTAGCTTCTTCACCTTCTATGGATTCACAACCCTTCTGTTAATGTTATAAACAACATTATACTGTTTCAAAGTGAGAAGAAACTACAGAAAAAAAAAATTTGTTTTTTGTTAAGTCGTGGGGCTTGAGCTTTGGGCCTGGGCACTGTCCCTGAGCTCTTCAACTCAAAGCAAGCATTCTACTACTTGTACCACAGCACCACTTCCAGTTTTCTGGTGGTTAATGGGTAAGAGTCTCATGGACTTTCGTGCCCCAGCTGGCTTTGAACCGTAATCCTCAGATCTCAGCCTCCTGAGTAGCTAGGATTACAGACGTGAGCCACCATCACCTGGCTATAGAATATTTTTAAAGCTTACTTTTAATAGTTTTAATGCATGACAAAGATCTTATAAAAAATAATCTATCCCATGATCTTAATTTCAGTGGCTGCAAGAGACACAAATGAGCACTACTAATGTAGCTTTCCTCAGTCTTCCTATGTTGTACTTTATAAGTAACTGCTATATATCATTTATACTCCATACTCACCATCTACGATAGACATATTTCTAAATGTTGACCCAGTGGCCTTTGAACTCCTGCTTTGAGTAGAAATATCCAGACCAGTGCCTGTTATGAGAATACTAAATAGTTAGTATACAATCCTATCACCAATTAAGGCTTTCTTACATCATGCCAAAATGAAAGCTAAACAGTTATGTCAAAACAACTGGTTTATAAAATTACAATAGCCTATTTAAGAATAAAATCTTGAGTTTTACTATTTTTCAAACTATTTTTTTTGTGTGTGACACTTTGTGGTTTTCTGAGATAGGGATTTACTGTGCAGCCTGAGCTGGCCTCAAACTCAGCATTTTTCTACCTCAAGACTACTGAGTGCTGAGATTACAAGATTAGAACTGTGTGCCACCATGACAAGCTCTGAGACTTTTAGGTTATATCTATGTAGATATGTCGAGTTAAGAGTTTAAGAAAAAAAAAATCTGTAAATGTAATGATAAGTATACATCATAAAAAAAGGGAAGATTTCTCTCCTAAGAGTTTAAACTACATTATTTTACCAGCTTAAAATTCCTATGGACAATAACAATGGAAACAAATGAAAATCTTCCTAGGGATAGACTTTGATAATATTATATCAGGAAATCACTGGAAGACAATTTTTCACTCTTTTTTTTTTTTTTGGTTGGTCTGGGACTTGAACTCAGGGCCTGGGCACTGTTTCTGAGCCTTTGTACTCAAAGCTAACACTCTACCATTTGAGCCACAGCTCCACTTCCTGCTTTTTTGACGGGAGATAAGAGTTTCACAGACTTTCCTGCCTAGACTGACTCCAAACTACAATCCTCAGATACCAGCCTTCTGAGGTAGCTAGGATTATAGGCCTGAGCCCGGCTCCCAGCTTACTGTTTTATAACTATTAATTGGCAGTGGCGTCATATTTAAATAGATAATGTTAATGATTGTTTTAAGAATTCAAATTGTTTTGAGGTAGTTTTCCTTTTTAAACAAACTTTATGGAGTCTACTTTATAATCATACAGGAATTTTATGGTAACAAAAATTTTATGAATGAAACTGCCATTTGATATCATTTTTCTTAATTTTTGTCTCATTATTTTTGCACCTGACAGTAAATATGACAACCAATGTACCTAAATGGTACTATACAAGAAATACAATGTAGCTTTCAAAAAATATGGATTAAGCTGGCTCATACCTATAATCCTAACTACTCAGGAGGCTAAGATCTGAAGATCATGGTTCAAAGCCAGTCCAAGCAGGAAAGTCTGTGAGATACATGTTCAATTGGCTACAGCTACAAAAAAAAAAAAAAAAAAAAAGCAAGCAAGCAAGAGTAGAATTGTTGACTCAAGTGGTAGAGAGCTAGCCTTGAGCCCAAAGGGGGAGAGCTCCCAAGGCAAAAAAAAAAAATAATAATAATTAAAATAATTAAAATCCTGTGTTGTGGGTGGCCATTCAAAATTAATTCAAGTAAAAAATGCCTGAACTACACTGCACTAAAGATTATCTTTATGCAAAGCAACATTTTTAAAGAACTGTTTTTAGAAACAAAAACTCACAATCTAATATTTCCCATATAGCTTCTAAGTCTGATAAGTGTAAAAGATGGTGCTGACCTCGGCCTCTCTGAGTCCCTCCTCTTGATGCTGAATTCTGCCCTCTGCCTCCTCTTCGTCCTCTGCCTCGGCCTCTTCCTCTGCTGGATGCTGGTGAGATGCTGTCATCAGAGTCATCAGCCATTTGTTCTGTTAAATCTTTACTAGTGAGGTCATCAGTGCAAAAGGCAGAGATGAGATCTTCTGACTGAGATCTGAGAGCTCGGGCCCTATTCATCGCCTGGGTAGCAAGAGGAACATTGGTGTTGATAATGTAGCACTCTAGCAATCAATCAGTGATTCACATGAACACTGTAGGTTGTCTACATTATTACTTTTACTAATTACGAAATTGGCAGTTACTCACCCTCCATTAAACACCGTAAGAGATAGTTGCTGACGTGCTTTTTAGAATGGGCTTTAATAATAAACAACATGAAAAAAATCCTGCAAAAAATAGCTTTTATTTCTAGGTTGTGAAATTTTAGAATGCTTTTTTTTTTATTGAGCATTATATTTTTTCCCTGAAAATACTTTTTTAAACAGGAGGGGCTGGGAAGGTGGCTCAGTGGTAGAGCGCTTGCCTTGCATGCCTGAGGCCCTGGGTTCGATTCCTCAGCACCACATAAGCAAAAAGAAAAAAGCTGGAAGTGGCGCTGTGGCTCAAGTGGTAGAGCGCTAGCCTTGAGCTGAAGAGCTGAGGGACAGCGCCCAGGCCCAGAGTTCAGGCCCCACGACCGGACCCCAAAAAAAAAAACAGGAAAACATGACAATAATCCTTTAAACACATAAACATCTTAAAACCAAGAATATGCCATCATTTTTTAATTTAATAAAAAAACACAAAATTGAGACAAATATTTTAATTCTAAAATAAATAGGCGTTTTATGGCTTAAAAATAGAAAATCTATTATGATCTAATCTCAATCAAAATATAACAAGAAGAAAAAAAACCATTTTATTACAACTAGAAAATAGTTCAAATCTCCAAATACAAAACTATCAAGCACAATTAACAATACGATAAACATCTGGCCTGGCTAAGGAAAAAACCTAAGAAGTGACTAGCTCTCCAAAATTAATGTATATATACTAGGTCACCATGTCAACATTATTTCTTGCTTGGATAGATAGTTTTGGGTCTAAAAACACATGACTAGAGCATTTCTAAGATTTATGATACCATAAAATAAAAACAGACAAAGCTTCACAAGAAGATGAGAACAAGGGGCTGGGAAGGTGGCTCAGTGATAGAGCACTTGCCTTGCATGCATGAGGCCCTGGGTTCAATTCTTCAGCACCACATAAGCAACAAGAAAAAAGCCACAAGTGGCGCTGTGGCTCAAGTGGTAGAGTGCTAGCCTTGAGCTGAAGAGCTGAGGGACAGTGCCCAGGCCCAGAGTTCAGGCCCCATGACCGGAACCCCCCCCCAAAAAAAGAAGAAGAAGATAACAAGACAGTAAGAGAAAACATGTGAATAAAGTTGGGAAGCAGAAGTTAGGATGATTCAGTATTCTAAGAGTTAGAAGTTATATACCGTGGTGGATACTTGTAGTCCCAGCAACTCAAGAGGCAAAGGCAGAAGGATCAAGAGTTCAGGTTTGGTCTAGGCAAAAGTAGTAAGTCCTGTCTCAAAACCATAAGTAGGGCTGGGAAGGTGGCTCAGTGGTAGACCGCTTGCCTTGCATGCATGAGGCCCTGAGTTTGAATCCTCAGCACCACATAAGCAGAAAAGGCTGGAAGTGGTGCTATGACTTAAGTAGTAGAGCACTAGCCCTGAGCTGAAGAGCTGAGGGACAGTGCCCAAGCCCAGAGTTCAGGCCCCACAACTGACAAAAAAATAAAAAAACATAAGTAAAACTCAAAGACTGGAGACAGAGTTCAAGTGGTAGAATACCTGCCTGGCATGCATAAGATCTTGAGTTCAATTATCACAAGTTTTAAAAAATATAGTTAACAAAAAGACTTGTACCATAATTCTGTCTAATTTGGAAAATGAACATATAAACTGATCCGTGAAAAGAAGGTATTTACTGGCTAAGTATTAAAGAAAATGTGGAGAAAATTGTTAAATGAAAAACAATCCCCAAAAAGATGGCCAGTAGAAAGTTTCAAAAGGCAATTCTATACAATTTTCAAAAAACAGACAATGTACTGCAATTTCTGTAGTGCCAGAGCTCAGACAAAGAAAGCTTCCAACTGCTTCTTCAACAGCCAGCAGGGTATAGTAAAGGCAAGGCACTGCACACACACAAAGAAAAGTATAGAACCTTTCTGAGGAACATGAAAGCATGGAGAATCCAGAAGCACATGGGACTACCAGGTTTACAAAGTGACATGGGATCAGTAAACAGCACAAAGGAAAACTCGCACATTCTGTTTTTTTGGGGTTGTTTTTTTTTGGGTCTGGTTGTGGGGCCTGAACTCTGGGCCTGGGTGCTGTCCCTCAGCTCTTCAGCTCAAGGCTAACGCTCTACCACTTGAGCCACAGCGCCACTTCCGGCTTTTTTCTTGTTGCTTATGTGGTGCTGAAGAATCGAACCCAGGGCCTCAGGCATGCAAGGCAAGCGCTCTATCACTGAGCCACCTTCCCAGCCCCTTGTTCTCATCTTCTTGTGAAGCTTTGTCTGTTTTTATTTTATGGTATCATAAATCTTAGAAATGCTCTAGTCATGTGTTTTTAGACCCAAAACTATCTATCCAAGCAAGAAATAATGTTGACATGGTGACCTAGTATATATACATTAATTTTGGAGAGCTAGTCACTTCTTAGGTTTTTTCCTTAGCCAGGCCAGATGTTTATCGTATTGTTAATTGTGCTTGATAGTTTTGTATTTGGAGATTTGAACTATTTTCTAGTTGTAATAAAATGGTTTTTTTTCTTCTTGTTATATTTTGATTGAGATTAGATCATAATAGATTTTCTATTTTTAAGCCATAAAACGCCTATTTATTTTAGAATTAAAATATTTGTCTCAATTTTGTGTTTTTTTATTAAATTAAAAAATGATGGCATATTCTTGGTTTTAAGATGTTTATGTGTTTAAAGGATTATTGTCATGTTTTCCTGTTTTTTTTTTTGGGGTCCGGTCGTGGGGCCTGAACTCTGGGCCTGGGCACTGTCCCTCAGCTCTTCAGCTCAGGGCTAGTGCTCTACTACTTAAGTCATAGCACCACTTCCAGCCTTTTCTGCTTATGTGGTGCTGAGGATTCAAACTCAGGGCCTCAGGCATGCAAGGCAAGCGCTCTATCACTGAGCCACCTTCCCAGCCCTACTTATGGTTTTGAGACAGGACTTACTACTTTTGCCTAGACCAAACCTGAACTCTTGATCCTTCTGCCTTTGCCTCTTGAGTTGCTGGGACTACAAGTATCCACCACGGTATATAACTTCTAACTCTTAGAATACTGAATCATCCTAACTTCTGCTTCCCAACTTTATTCACATGTTTTCTCTTACTGTCTTGTTATCTTCTTCTTCTTTTTTTGGGGGGGGGTTCCGGTCATGGGGCCTGAACTCTGGGCCTGGGTGCTGTCCCTCAGCTCTTCAGCTCAAGGCTAACGCTCTACCACTTGAGCCACAGCACCACTTCCGGCTTTTTTTTTTTTTGCTTATGTGGTGCTGAGGAATCGAACCAGGGCCTCATGCATGCAAGGCAAGCGCTCTACCACTGAGCCACCTTCCCAGCCCAAAACCCGCACATTTGTATCTCCTTAGATGCCCAAAAGGTTCCTACCTCTCCAGCCAGTCCTTATTTACACAATACTCAAGGTACATACATAAAAACAGAACTAGGAAACTGGAGGGGATGAATGGGGATGAGACAGACTGGGGGATGTTGGAACAGATGACACTGATGAAGATGCATTGTGCTCAAAAGCATGTTGAAAAGAAAGCCTTATCTAAATATTAAGACAAACAATAATAAGCTTCAGAAATGGGCAGATACTTTCCTTTACATAGAAAATTTATTAGACATAAGCTATAACTTTTTCATATTTGTATTCTTAACAAAAACTACAATGTCTAACACGTTTACTATGGAAAGTATCCACTGATGGAAAACAACAGGAAAAAAAATAAATATTTGGCCACAGTGGCTCATGCTTTTAATCCTGGACTCAGTGGATAGAGATTTGGCACATTAGTTTCAAGGTCAGACTGGGCAAAAAATTGAGAACCTCATCTCAACAAACACGCTGTGTATGGTGGTACATGGTAGCAATCTCAACTACAAAGAAAGGCTTACAAGCCTTTCCAATGTCATTCTTTGCAGACAGAGAAATCAGCCATGAATTCATGTGGAAGTATAAAAGGCCCGAAACAGCCAAAGAAAAAAAAAGCAATACTGGAGATTATCACAATTCCATACAGCAAAACTTCCTACAGAATTCTGGGGGCTAGGAATGTGTTAAGAATGCTTGCCTAGCATGCATGAAGCCCTGAGTTTGACTCCTCAGACCACATAAACAGAAAAAGCCAGAAGTGGCACTGTAGCTTAAGTGGTACTGTGCTAGCCTTGAGCAAAAGAAGCTCAGTGATAGTGTCCAGGCCCTGAGTTCAAGCCCCAGGACTGAAGAAAAAAAACAAAAAAGAATTCTGGTAACAAAAACAAGAAGGCACAAAACAGACCCGAAGATCAACAGAATAGACTAGAAGATCTAGAAATAAATCCATACACCTATAAGCCATCTGAATCTTGACAAAGAAACCAAAGTATATGTCTGAAAATCTGTTGTTGAGACAACTAGACATCCATATGTAGAAGACTAAAACTAGATTTCTGTTTGTTCTCTTGTACTAATATCAGTTTAAAGTGGATCAAAGAACTCAACGTAGGACTCGAAACCCTGAAATTACTACAGCAAGAAGTAGGAGAAACATTAGAACATATTGGAATATGCAGTAACTTCCTGAGTAGAATTCTAAGACTCAGGAAATAGAAGAACTGACAAACAAGACTGCATCAAGCTAAAAAGCTTCTGCACAGAAAAGCATATGGTTTCTAAGCTAAAAAGATAACCTAAAGTAGAATGAGAGATCTCTGCCAACAATATGTCTCATATGGGTCTCATCAAAATACACAATGAATTTAAAAAAAAACTAAACCCATAAAGAATCAGATAAGAATAAATAGGAGGGCTGGGAAGGTGGCTCAGTGGTAGTGCTTGCCTTGCATGCATGAGGCCCTGGGTTCAATTCCCGAGTACCACATAAGTAGAAAAAGCCAGAAGTAGAGCTGCGGCTCAAATGGTAGAGTGCTAGCCTTGAGCTGAAGAGCTGAGGGACAGCACCCAAGCCCAGAGTTCAGGCCCCACAACAACAACAACAAAACAAAAGAATAGAAAAAGGAATGAAACACATTCCTCTCAGAAAAAGTATATACAGCAAATTAATACACTAAAACATGCTTACCATCTCTGCCACAAAGGTAATACAAATCAAAACAAAACAAAGATTCCATCTTACTTCATTCAGAATGGCTATCATCAAGAATATTAACAATACTGATGATGATATGAGGAGACCTTATACACTACTGTTGAAAATGCAAATTAGTACATCCAATAAGGAAATCAGTATGGAGAGTTCTCAAAAATAAATAAATAAATAAATAAAGACAGAATTACGTGTAATCCAGGGATACTACTCCTGGGCATTTATTCAAAAGATTACAAATCAGGAAAAAATAAAGACACTTGTACACCCATGTTTATTGCTGCACCACTCACCATAACAAAGATAAACAGCCCAGATGCCTTACAATGCATAAATACATTAAGAAAATCAATCTAACCATTCACCAATTAATCAATCTATCTTTAGAAAATGTGTATTTAGGGCTGGGAAGGTGGCTCAGTGGTAGAGTGCTTGCCTCTCATGCATGAGGCCCTGGGTTCAATTCCTCAGCACCACATAAGCAAAACAAACAAACAAACAAACAAAAACAAGCCGGAAGTGGTGCTGTGGCTCAAGAGGTTAGAGAGCTCGCCCTGAGCTGAAGAGCTGGCCCCACAACTGTCTGAAGAGCTGGCCCCACAACTGTCAAAAAAATAAATAAATAAACTTATAAAAAAAAAGAAAATGTGTATTTATAGAGATGTATCTATTTATATATCTCTACAGATCTAATGTCTATTTATAGCTATCCATCTATATTTGCATCTATATCTAATGTATCTATATATTCCTATTTTTTATAAAATGTATCTGTATCTAGTTATATCTAAATTTAGCTATATAAAACTATACCAATATATACACAAACACACACAATACACGCACAAAATGGAATTTTAATCAGCCATTAGGAAGAATGGAATTATGTCCATTGTGGGAAAATGAATGGATCTGGGGCAGGAGGAGAGGGGGAGGAACGAACTTAGCAAAGTAAGCCAGGCCCAGGAAGACAAAGTGTGCATGTTTTCTCTCACATTTAGATCCAAGACCCAAAATATATCCACCACACAGGAGCACATGCACTTATACACAGTCAAGTTCCTTAAAGTATAATGTATACAGGCAGTTTAACATTATGAATACAGTCTCCCTGATATGTGGATGTTAGATTCAAAATGTAACGAGATATGACAAAGTAAACAAAAGACTCCAGACACTCATACACAGTGAAACCGAAAGAGGTCAGTCTTGGAAGAATAACACCAAATTGTAACACCAAGCACCTCTTCATATGTGCACAACAGACAGACTGAAATGAACCCCAAAGACAAGGAAACAAAGGACCTCTTCTTAATTTGTCTTATTGTTTTTAGATGACTCTATATTCTTTACCTCATTTATGGTATACATGTGCACATCTGAGGGAAGCTAGGAAGAGGGCACAGAATCAGAGGAAAACAGGTGGAAAAATACAGCAGAGGGGGCTGATCAGCTTCACTGGACATTGATAAAAGGGAACTAAGCAACTCGAGGTCAGTGATGGGAAGGAGGGAATGAGAGGTTAAGAGGGAACAGCTGACACTAAGCAAAAGGAAAGAAATATATATATATAACCCAATGTGGAAGTAATTCTTTTGTTTTTATTGTTTAAGTTTGTAGAGTTCATAAGCTTTGTAGATTAAGGTAATGGTGATTATCATTGTGAAGGTTGAAATGTGTTTGTGACTTTAGCTAAGTGTAACTATGCCACAGTACTATGAGATTTATGCAATCATCTCAATTAGGTGATTGCAAAATAAAGAAATATTTGGGGTAAAAAAACAATATAAATATCAAGGAGCTGAAAAACAGTTTGAAGGGGTGGAGGTTAGTGGCAGGATAAATGGGTAAGGGAAAAGGGGTTGAATATAGTCTTAATATTCAATGAACATTTGTGAAAAAGGAAGTGGAAAAATTGGTATCATGGGGGAGAAGTAGGTAGGATAAAAAAGAATGGTAGAACAGGTTACTATGATTGAGATACACTAGATACATAAAATGGACATGTTAAATTGTAAAATAAGATAAACACCAGGAAAAAAAAAACTAAAGCCAAAAGTACTGAAGGTGTAGCTAAAATTTACAAAAATAACTTTGACATACTAGATAGTAAACATAAAACACATAAAAAATTAAAAAATAAAAAAGTAAAATATACTTCAATCATGAGTTCACCAAATATAAGATAGAGGCCAAAATTATTAACAAGTGTGCACTAATTTGTTGTTCCTAACCTGCAATGAGCCTAAGACAGTAATGAGGATTCTAAAGCTCATTTTAACCTTTCAGGACAATGGCAACTGTCTATTTACCCACAATAACACTGTTAACCAAAATTTTTTGCCCAAAATTTCAGTTCTAAAAGGTAAGATTTTATTAAAGTAGTTAAGATGGTCTAGTGATAATCAAGTATTATTCTAATTACTAAGAGCTCTTTTTTATATCTTCTTCCCACTCTCCAAACAAGTTGTAGACAAGAGCAAGGGAAACAAAGAATAAAGAAAATGATCAAAACTACTTGTAGGCTAAGTAAATTGCATTAAATAAACCAAAAGTTACTATCCTTAGCCAACCCTTGCCCACTCATACCTGCCATGCCCTCCAAAAATTACCTCTCGAACTTCATCATCCTCTTCATTGGTATTTTTTTGTCTGCTTTCTCTGAAGCGACGTACCTAAACCATCACAGAGTAAATCATAAACATATTGGTTATTTCAATTACAAAATAATGGCTACAGCTAAGAAATACTAAGACAGATGCTGGTGTCTCATGTCTGTAATACTAGCTACTCTAAGGCTGAGAACTAAGGATCAAGATTAGAAGCTAGCCTGGGCAGAAAAGTCTGTGAGACTAATATTTCCAATTAATTACCTACAAAGTCAAAAATGGAGGTGTGGTTCAAGTGGTAGAGCACAAGCTCTGACAACAGAGATAATAGTTTGAAGCCATTCCAGGCAAAAAAACCTCGTGAACCCTATTTCAAAGAGCAACAACAAGACCTGAGGCATGGCTCCAGTGGTGGCCCTGAGTGTGAGGCCCAACTTCCACCACCTGAAAAACATGTCCTTTTTCTTATAACACAAAACTTGAAATTTCAAATATAGTTTGTCTCATGAAAGATGCATAGCTCTATTTCTCAGTTACATTTATTAAAGTATCAGAAGTGAGCCAAGCACTGGTAGATCATGCCTGTAATCCTAGCTACTCAGGACACTGACATCTGAGGATCACAGTTCAAAGCCAGCCTGGGCAAGAAAGTCCGTGAGACTCTTATCTCCAATAAATGACTAGAAAACCAGAAGGGGCACTGTGGTTCAAGTGGTAGAGCACTAGCCTTTTTTTTTTTTGTCAGTTGTGGGGCTTGAACTCTGGGCTTGGGCTCTGACCTTGTGCTCTTCAGCTCAAGGCGAGCACCCTACTGCTTGAGCCACAGAGCCACTTCCGGTTTTCTAATGGTTTACTGGAGATAAGAGTCTCACAGACTTTCCTGGCCGGGCTGGCTTTGAACCAAGATCCTCAGATCTCAGCCTCCTGAGTAGCTAGGACTACAGGTGTGAGCCACCAGTGCCCAGCACAGCACTCACCTTGAGCTGAAGGACAGTGCCCAGGCCCAGAGTTCAAGCTCCATGACCAAAAAAAAAAAAACAAAACAAAAAACTGAAGAACAAAACCTGATTCTAAGCAAAACTGTACTGCCTGTTGCTAAATGTTCTAGGTCAGTGAAAAGCAGTCTGAAATGCAAAGAAAAACAACACCCTATAGTCCTATGGGTACTATACTTCAGCAAAATAATTACAACCAATCTTTCCTTTATGAGGCTTGAACTTCTTCAGTTCACTCTTGTATACTTTGGCCAGAAGAGACCTGGGGGCTCTTCAGTTGTTTCTAAACCAGTAGATCCAGAAAGATCCATTTTTTTCAATAGTCAACTACTGAACACTTACTGGCCATGGCTCTGTAGCACTTACTAATCCTTGTAGTAAATAAACCAAGGGTCACTACAGATTTCTGTCTCTCTCTGTGACTTTACTGGGACTTGAACTCTAGGCCTTGTGCTCTCAGTTGAATATTTTTTTCTCATGGCTGATACTCTACCATTTGAGCCACACATACCTTTACTGTCTTCTTGGTGGTTAATCAGAGCTAAGAGTCTCTTTAATGTGTTTGCTTGGGCAACTGCCCAGCTCAAGTTTTGTTTTTAATGGTTCCAGCTCACAAATCTCCTATAGTTACAGAGTGAGAGATAGCCTGAGTTATTTAACTATCTCCTCAGCACAGATTTACTATTGTACCAACTATTGTAGAAAATTATTATATAAAAATGCACAAAAGTAGTAAAAATTCTGTCCTCACAAAGTTCACAATCTAGTGAGTACATGGAAGGGAAAGTAGCCAACAGCAAATAAGTACCCTTGCATTCTACAAGGCACTCAAGACTGATCTAATACTTTTAATTAAAGTATGCTAATTGAACAGAGGGTTTGGGGGCTGTCGTTAACTCCATAGTTACAGTGTACTTTGATCAAATTTATTTTATTATGTTACCCTAACAGTCCCTTCCCTCCTCCCACTCATTTTCAAATAATGATTTCATTCACTATCTTCACATGTTTTAAATCATGTTCACCTCTCAGCATATTATTTCCCCAATGTAATCCCTTGATATCACAGGGGGCTGTGATTTAAGACTGGGTCAGTTATTGTAGCTATGATGATGTTAGAGGTAGATTTTTCATGTGAATAAAAGTATGTATTAGGCTTTTTCACTGACGTATTCATCAGGACCTTCAGAACCATCCCATTTTATGGGATCCTGCCAAAGTCACTCATATTTTTTAGAGCAGTATAACAGTCCATTATGTATATGTTCATCATATTTTTTTATCCACTCACTATTTGGGGGGCAACTAGGCTGACTGTACAACTTGGCTATTGTGAATAATGCTCTAATCACGGATATGCAGGTATTTCTTTTATGTTAACACTTCAGATATATATATATATATACACACATATATATGCATAAAAGTTGCATAGCAGAATCATAAGGTAATTCTATTTTGGTTTTTTAATGAGTCTCCATGTTTATTTCAATAACATTTACCCTAATGTACATTTTCATCACAGTGTCTACGTATTCCTTTTTATCTAATTCATCTGTTTTCTCCAACACATTTGTTTTCTTGATAGCAATTCAGACTGGGGTGAGATTTATTTTCACTGTAGTTTTGATTTGTATTTCCTTTATGGCTAAGAACGCTGAACATTCAGATAAATTACTTTGTACTTCTTATGGTAACTGTCTATTAAAATTTATCTATTTATTAACTGGGTTGTTTGTTCTTTTGTCCCTTAGTTTTTTTTTGTCTTTTTGCATTCTGGATATTCTGTAGTCAATTACTATCTTAAAAAATATTTCTCCCATTCAGGAGATTGGTTCTTCATTTTGGGTAATTGCTTTTATTACTATACAGAAACTTGCTAATTTAAAGTAATTTCATTTTCCTATTTTTTTGGCTTTTTTTGGGAGGGGGGGTGACAGTCCTGTGGTCTCGAACTCAGGGTCTAGACGCTGTCCCCGAGCCTTTATGCTCAAGGATAGTGCGCTACCACTTGAGCCACACCTCCACTTTTCTTTGGTTCGTTTGGCTAAAGGTTTGTCAATCTTGTTTTTTTTTTTTTTTTTGGTCCGGTCATGGGGCCTGAACTCTGGGCTTGGGCGCTGTCCCTCATCTCTTCAGCTCAAGACTAGCGCTCTACCACTTGAACCACAGCGCCACTTCTGGCTTTTTTCTTTTTGCTTATGTGATGCTGAGGAATTGAACCCAGGGCCTCAGGCATGCAAGGCAAGAGCTCTACCATTAAGCCACCTTCCCAGCCCTCTTAGTCTCTTGATACATACTTCTAAGCTAATTTTCAGGAAAGCTGTTCCAACATCATCTATCAGAAGTATCCTTGTAAATTGACTAGTTTCTCAAATTATTGCCAATCTGAAAAAAAAAAAAGCTTAAATTTATTTATTAGCCTTGGGTAGGCATCAGTTTGACATACATAGAACAAGTTTTTTGTTGTTGTTCTTGATTTGTTTTTGTAAAACATCTATCCTTGTACTTTATTCACTACTCTACCAAAATGTTCAATCTTTTTTAAAAATAGATTTGGAAGCCGGACGCCAGTGGCTCACGCCTGTAATCCTAGCTACTCAGGAGGCTGAGATCTGAGGATCGCGGTTCAAAGACAGCCCGGGCAGGAAAGTCTGTGAGACTCTTATCTCCAATAAACCACTAGAAAACCAGAAGTGGTGCTGTTGCTCAAGCGGTAGAGCTGAGGGACAGCACCCAAGCCCAGAGTTCAAGTCCCACCACTGACAAAAAATTAAAAATAAAAATAAATAGATTTGGAAGAGCTTGTTAGTACTAATAACAAAAATATTAACCTTGGGGCTGGGAAGGTGGCTCAGTGATAGAGTGTTGCTTGTATGCATGAGGCCCTGGGTTCAATTCCTCAGCACCACGTAAGCAGAAAAAGCTGGAAGTAGTACTGTGGCTCAAGTGGTGAGTGCTAGCCTTGAGCTGAAGAGCTCAGGGACAGTGCCCAAGCCTAGACTTCAGCCCCCACAACCGACGAAAAAAAAAATTAACCTTTTTTCTACCTACATACAAATATTTTCTCATGTCAGTATCTTTTATTTTGCAAGGTTCATTTTAAGTACTCTTAGGATCTGCCAAAGAAGATACTTTCTAAGGAAATAAAATTAACATTAGTTCAATAGCAATCTGATATAAGACTGTTTTAGGTACTTTCTAAATATTTTATCAATCATTTTATTATCTTTATATAGACATTTATATCTTTATATGTGCATGTATAATGTATATATACATATACGTGTATGTATATACGCATACATATATAGACACACACACACACACACACACACACACACATATACATCACATATACGTATATAAAGAAGCTGAACAATTAGAGCAATTAAGTACTAGTTTTTCAGAAAAAAAACCAAAAAACAAAAAAACTCAGAACTACTTTTTTTTTCTTTTGGTTCTGGTCCTGGGACTTGAATGCAGGACCTCAGTGCTGTCCCTGAGCTTTTTTGCTCAAGATTAGCACTCTACAATTTGAGCTACAACTACACTTCTAGCCAGAAGTAGAGGTTGTGGGTGGTCAATTGGAGCTAACAGTCTTGTGGACCTTCTTGCCCAGGATGGCTTCAAATCACAATGATCAGATCTCAGCCTTGAGATTACAAACATGAAATTCCAGTACCAGGCTCAGCGCTACTCTTGAGGCTGTCTGAGTATACCTACACATCCAAAATTATTACTTACTTCTTCATCAATTTTATCCTCTAGTGCATCAATATGACGCTCTTTAAGAAATCGCTGTGTTTTTTCCAATTGGTATTTCACTAGTTCTTCAATGGCATCTTTTTCTTCCTTGTCTACAAATTCTTGTACTGCCTCTCCCATCCCTCTTTCTGTTAGTAATGAGAGCTGAACATTCTGTATGAGAGAAGCAGAAATCATGTTTCTATAAAATAATTGCAGATAATCAAGGAAAGTTATAGAATAGTGTAATCAGAGAAAAAGAAAAAGAAGTAAAGAGCTAGACAGCATATAAACCTAGTGATAACAATTAAGGGGCAGAAAAAGCAAATCAAACCAGGAAAACAAAGTCTAAGACTAGTGAAGGTACAGCAGCCTGAATGGTTATAATGTAGTCTAGAAACGGCCAATGATGATTAAGAGACTAAAGTTAAAACCATTGTGGTAGGCAAAACAATTGCCCCTAATATTGTGCACATACTGATTTCTGAAACTCGTGAATATGTTAGTTACATGGCAAAGGGAAATTAAGATTGCCAATGGAAATAAGGATGCTATTCAGCTCATTATAAAATAGATTATCAGGACTATCCAGGTGGATTCAGTTATAATCACAACAGTCCTAAATAGGAGAAGAGGAAGTCAGGAGAATAAGAGGGTGATATAACTTGTGGGAAAAAAATGAAACACATTACTGTTTTTGGAGATCATAAAGGGGACCAAAAGCCAAGAAACACCTCCCTTAGAGCTTCTAGAAAGGAATACAGTCTTGATGTGACCTTGATTTCTGTAGTTAAATTCAGCTAGCAGGTTTCTGATATAAAGAATTAAAATAAGCCACATGTGCTGGCTCAAGCCTGTAATCCTAGCTACTCAGGAGGCTGAAATCTGAGGATAAAGGTTCAAAGCCAGCCTGGGCAAGGAGGTCTGTGAGACTTATCTCTAAAAAACAAGAAATGGCACTGTGGCTCATCCTACGTAGTAGAGCACTAGCTTTGGGTTCAAGAGCTCAGGGACAGTGCCCAGGCCCTAAGTTCAAGCCCATTGGAAAAAAAAAATGTAACGAATTTCTGCAGTTTTAAATAAATGTAACTAGAGGATCTAAAAAGTGGCAAACACGCTTAATAGTAAATTTGAGTAGTTTCATCATCATGAGACTATTATTTGTAAAGTAATTCTGAAATTACATCCAAATGAGGAAAATAAATTGTAAATTAAGACTTCTGTAGTAGAGAGAAAAAGAAAGAAGAAATAGGTGCTGGTGGCTCACACCTGTAATCCTAGCTACTCAGGGGAGGCTAAGCTCTGATGATCACGGTTCAAAGCCAGCCCAGGCAGAAAGACTCTTATCTCCAATTAACCACTAGAAGAACAGAAGTGGTGCTATAACTCAAGTGATAAGAGCACTAGCTTTGAGCAAAAGAGTTCAGGAACAGCATGCTGGCCTTGAGCTCAAGCCCCATGACCAACCAAAAAAGAAAGAAAAAGAAAGATAATATTAACAATAACAGTTACATCAATGTTTTCTATTAAGCATTTTTTCTTGAAATTCAGTAATCATAGATAAATACAATTCAATGTCACCCTACTTCAATACAATCCTTGTGAAGATTCATTTTATTTGCTAATTTTACATTTCTTAAAATCTGTTACTATGAAATAGCTAGTTGCTCAAAAGGTAAACTAAGAAATTACCTTCTCTGCTGTTTGAAAATACTGTTTTACAAGGTCTTCTACCCTAAGTGTTGTTCCTTCTAAAGGTTTTGTGATAAATCTCCCAAAGTTTATCTCTTCTCCTAGAAAAAAATAAATCCAGCAAAAATATCAGCTTCTGTTTTTAAATGTTAAAATGGCCACACTCACTGCAGGTTGTTGATAGTGCAGAGGTTTGAATAAACACCAACAAATGCTGCTTGCTCAACATGCTAAACTGTGAGGCAAAAACCCAATTTCTGTTAATAGGGTTGTTTTTCTTTCCTATAGTCAGTATTCCCTGCCCATATCTCCAGAAATTAATTACTTAGCTATTATAAACAGTAAGCAATACAACAGTTCTTATTTCAGAAGTCTTAAGTGCTCTTAAACACTGTGTACTCAAAAGTCAAAAAACAAATGCAAAATTATCTGGACATTAATAATATATGGTAAGAGGTAGTTATTTTGAGTAATATCTAAAGTCTAAGTATGTTTTTACTTATCTGTGTTGTTTTAAAACCACTATTTTTGTGGGGGTTTTTTTTGGGGTCCGGTCAGGGCCTGAACTCTGGGTCTGGGCACTCTTCAGCTCAAGGCTAGCGATCTACCACTTGAGCCACAGCGCCACTTCCGGCTTTTTTCTTTTTTCTTATATGGTGCTGAGGAATCGAAGCCAGAGCCTCATGTGCGCAAGGCAAGCACTCTACCACTAAGCCACCTTCCCAGCCCCTTAAAACCACTATTTTTGGAAGAAGCCTTCCACATTTCTTCAGTGATATCCACAAAGCTTTTAAAAAAATGAATTAAAAAAAGAAATTTCTGCTCAATGTTTTATACTAAAACATCTTCCATTATTTTGTTTTTTACCAAAAGCTGATTTAAACTGTAAGAACATTCTCTTTTAATTTTTAAACATTTGTATTATCTTTAAGTAGATGTACAAAGGAGTTGCCATTCAACAAAGCAGTTTATGAATATAGTGGGTCCTGATCAATGTTAACTCTTTCAACATTCTAGCCACCCTTCCCAAACCACCCGTTCCCCCACTTTCTTAATTCTGTAGGATATATTTTTTATTTATTTATTTTTGCCACTTAACAAAGAGAAGGAATAGGCCAAAGAGGAGTGAAAATGTTGAAGGAGTAACACAGATCAAGAATATTCTTTAACTTGTAAAATTAACTAGCTTACCTGTTTTTGCCTTTTGTTCTCTATGCCTGAAAAAATGGATAATATCTTTTGGATTAGCTACCCGATCCACAAATTTCTGGCTAAAGCGAAGAACATTAAAAGGTTCAAAACCTCCAGTATAGTCCACCTAGAAATACAGAATAACTTAAGAAATCTAAAAAACCACAATTTGTCTATTTTTATTACTTATTTTCTGATGCATGTAACGTTATGGTTTAATACATACAAATTTATAAATTAGTTTTCTATAATACATTTTGTATATTGTATATTATATACATACATATATATATATATATATATATATATAATTTTTTGGGGGGTGGGGTCGGTCATGGGCTTGACCTCTGGGCCTGGGTGCTGTCCCTGAGCAATTCAGTTCGAGGTGAGCACTCTACCACTTGAGCCACAACACCACTTCAAGTTTTCTGGCGGTTAATTGGAAATAAGAGTTTCACAGACTTTCCTGCCTGGCCTGGCTTTGAACTTCGATCCTCAGATCTCAGCCTCCTGAGCAGCTAGGATTGATTACAGGCATGAGCCACGGGCGCCCGGCATATTTAAATACTTAAAAAGGTAAAAGTTAAGTGAAATACTTTGCTTGAAATAATCAGGTTACAGCAAGAATTTCCACCATGGTGGTGTGTGCCTCTGTAATCCCAACTACTTGTATACAGGACTGAAGTCTAAGTTAGCCCAGACATGAGCATAAATAACCTATCTGAAAAACACTGAAAGCAAAAGGACTGGGAGCATGGAACAGGTACTAGTGGGCTTGCCTACCAAGTATAACAAAAAAAAAAAAAAAAACAAAGAAAGAATCCCTAAACAAAACACTTCCATAATATTGGATATTTCCCATGACACCAATCAATACCAGGTGTGCCATTTGAAAGGGGATGAAATTTCTCAACAAGTTTTAAAGATAAACCCCTAAAAAACTAAAATGTCAGCCTTAGAGGCATTAGTGCATTGGTCCATCATTTCAGGGATGGGAATGTATCTTCAAACTGGACAAGAATGAATGCTGGGAAAATACAGACAGGAAAGAATCAGGTCTGAGCAGTGTGAAACAATGACCTTCAAAACATGCTATCTTAGGGCAACTAATAATCTCTCTCAAGGCAAGATCTTCCCAAAGATAGCTATAAACCTTCATCACAAGTGTCCATCCTTCATCACACTTGGGATCATCTGCTAAGCTTCTGTTCATATATTTGCATTTCTTTATTATGTCTCTAATTTCACCTCCAACCAATAAGTTCAAAATCTCTCCTAGTTTCTATGTTCTTCACTAGACATACAAATAGGTACTGTAAGATCCATTCAATGAATTTAATAATAGTCCACTAGTTGGTATGTTTGTATAATATTATCTACACAATATTTAAGAATGAATTAAAAACTTGCTGTGTTTTAGATAAGGAATGTCAATTTGCTCTTTAAGCCTGGTTGCTTCTAATGACTTCAGACATGGATGAAAAATTACAGGATTTGTTTCCCTGATGAGAGTATCATGTGATTCCTCTGAAGTAACTATCAATGTATTATCCAGATAATCTGCCATATCAAAAAACTGCCATGTCATTAACTACTGCCATGTCATTTAAAAAAAATTCTTAGCTAACTAGATCTCTGGGGGAGGGAGAGGAACTTGAACCTGAGGTCTTGTATATGTTAGGCAAGTGTTCTACAACTAAGCTATAAAGTTCTCCTACCCTGATTTTAACAGTTTTACTCCAACCTACCTTTATTTATAATTTCCTGATCCTAAGAATAACAAAATTTGCTCAGAAAACCAATTTTATTGGATGTCCTTACTGCTCAAAGTACTCTGCTAAATGGCAAGTGATGCAACCATAAAGAAAACACAATCTTCAACTAGGCACTGGTAGCTCATACCTATAATCTAGGCAACTGAGATCCAAAGATTATGGTTCAAAACCAGCCTAAGCAGAAAAGTTTTGAAGACCACTTCCAATTAATCACCAAAATGAAGACTGGTGGTTTCACTCAAGTTTTAGAGCAGTAAGCAAAAAAGGGGAATAATAACGCAAGGCCTGGGTTCCAATCCTGATACCAGTAAAAAAAGAAAAACCCTTGAAGCTCCCAAAATACTCTCACAATTTTGTTGTTAAAAATTCATAAGCTGGATGCAAAACAAAAAAAATGTACATACCACCCAATATGGAAGAAATAACTGTATTGCAAAGCTCATAGAACTCATAAATGTTATATACCGTGATAGACAATTTGCTCCAGGAAAAGTTAAGAGTGTGTTTGTGACTTTAACTGAGCATCACCATCACACAATACTGTGAAATTTGGGAAATTATGTAACCACTTAATCACAATAAAAAATTTGAAAAAAAAATTTCATAAGCTGGGGGCTGGAAAGGTGGCTCAGTGGTAGAGTGCTTGCCTTGCATGCATGAGGCCCTGGGTTCCATTCCTCAGCACCACATAAGCAGAAAAGGCCAGAAGTGGCTCTGTAGCTTAAGTGGTAGAGTGCTAGCCTTGAGATGAAGGGCTGAGGGACAGTGCCCAGGCCCAGAGTTCAGGCCCCACAACCGACAAAAAAAAATTCTTAAGCTGGAGCCGGGCACTGGTGGCTCACACCTGAAATCCTCCTAGCTACTCAGGAGGTTGAGATCTGAGGACCATGGTTCAAAGCCAGCCCAGGCAAGAAAGTCTGTGAGACTCTTATCTCCAATTAACCACCAGAAAACCGGAAGTGGCACGTGGCTCAAGTGGTAGAGTGCTTGCCTTGAGCTGAAGAGCTCAAAGACAGCACCCAGGCCCAGAATTCAAGCCCCACGACCAACCAAAAGAAAAAAAAATCATAAGCTGCTGGGGTTGGGGGCTCATGTCTTTAATCCTAGCTACTCAGGAGGCTAAGATCTAAGGACCTTAGATTCCAAGCCAACCCGATCCAATCAATCACCAAAAAAGCCAGGAGAACTCAAGTGGCTCAAGAGATGAGTCCTTAGCCTTGAGCAAAAACTCAAGTACAGCACCCAGGCCCTGAGTTCAAGTCCCAAGACCAGAATAGTAACAACAAAATAAATTCAGGAACTGACAAAGAAGATAAATGTAAATAAATCACAAGCAGAGTATAAATGCTGCTATAAGAAGCATATACAAGCAGAAAAAGAACAAGCAGCAGTTAACTCTTGAGGGGTAGGTTTAAGTGGTGGCTGAAAGAAATAGAAAGCAAGAAAGAAGTATGTTTGCACATACATGAGTGAAGGCTCGTGTGAAATTAGAAATTAGGATGTGCTAAGGAGAAAGAAGACTAAGAAGTCGGTTTAGATCAGGTCATACAAACTAGGTCTGTATTACTATAAAGTTTTGATTTGTTCTTGTTAGTGTGGAGGGCAGACTGGTAGTGGGCAAGGAGGCATCTGAGGTAGAGTTCAGGTAGGAGGTTGCAGTTATAGGCAGTAAGTAACCATAATGGCTTAAATATAACAATGACTGTAGGAAGGACCAAAGGGACCAGATTAGAACATTTACTGTGCTCCAGACACGTTTTAATTCACTTGAATCTCAGAGATTTCTAAAGAGAGACTGAACTGTTCCAGGTCATACTAACTAATGCCATGGCCCAATCAGCCAGCCTTGACCTTCAACTGTTTTCCCTACACCCCAGAAATTCTCAAGGTTTAATGTGCATACAACCTTTTATGGATATTCTGTAAAAAAGCAATGGAGTCTACTGCCGAATGGGACTGATGTGAGGTCTGAGATTTTATATTTTTGAGCTTCTTGGATGATGGCAATGTCACTGGTTTAAGGATTCACACTCCCTGAGTATCAGGCTTTTTAGAGGACTCCGAACATACATATCAACAAGGAGATCTAAAACACAGGAGTCAGCCAGGTGCTGGTGGCTCACACCTGTAATCCTAGCTACTCAGGAGGCTGAGATCTGAGAATTACAGTTCAAAGCCAGTCTGGGCAGGAAAAGCCTTGAAACTCTTATCTCCAACAAACCATCAGAAAAATGGAAGTGGCGCTGTGGGTCAAGTGGTAAAGCACTAGCCTTGAGCTGAATTGCTGAGAGACAGTGCTCAGGCCCAGAGTTCAAGCCCTATGACCGACACTCCCCCTCCCCCCAAAAAAAAGACTTCCCCAAGGCTCTACTTATAATGCTTCTACTTATGTCACTAGCTAAAACTTAAGCACATAGCCATACCCATCTTTAAAAGAAGCTTAAAAAAAATGTAAAAAAATAAAATAAAACATAGGAGTCAACACTCCATAAGACTTTGTTCAAGCCATAATGCCATAAGACAGATAATGAACAGGAAGAGGAAAAGATAACTCAAGAGTTACAAATCAGCCGGGAACCAGTGGCTCACATCTGTAATCCTAGCTACCCAGGAGGCTGAGATCTGATGATCACAGTTCAAAGCCATCAGGAAAATCCATAAGACTTTTATCTCCAATTAACCAGCAGAAAACTAGAAGTGGTGCTGCAGCTCAAGTAGTAGAGCACTTGCCTTGAGCTCAAGAGCTCAAGGACAGTGCCCAGGCCCCAAGTTCAAGCCCCACGACCAACAACAACAAAAGAAGTTACAAACTGTAATTCAGTGAGATGAAAAAAAAAAAAAAATCACTGAATTTGATGTTCAATGGCCAGAGGATTCATGTGTTAGATGAAGAGTATAGGCTATATATCTAAAACAAAAAATTCATATAATTAGGAAGACTTATTACTTAAACATAAAACAAGGGAGAAGGTAAGTGACATCAGCAGAGTCAGGGAGAAGAACAGGATTGTAATCATAAGGAGGGCAAGCCATAGCAAGGTGGCATTTGAGCAGACTTGAAGAAGTAACAATGTACCTGTTATGTTTAAGCAACTACAAGAAGGCCAAGGTAAGAGAGAGCAAGAACAAAAGATGATCTCAATGTATGAAACAGAACAAACTTTTAAAAATGACAAAACTCAAATACATCAAACCTGTAAGAATTCAACTGGGATTAGGTCAAATCCTTACAGCTTTATTCCTTTGTCTCCAATGCTGTTCTGACTTTGAAAATTTGCCTTATTTTTAAAACAATCCATGTAAACTGCTATGCTAAGTTCAGAGCTTACTCGCAGTCGTATAAGAGGCTTCTCTGGCTGTTGAGAGTTCCCTAGCCGTTCCCGTTCAGCATTTTCAAGCATTTCTTCAATCTGAGAATAAAAATAAAGATTAAAAACCATAGTACTAAATGTAATTTTAAACTGTCTAAATAGTGTTTATTTTCATATCAAAATTTTCCACTTTATGGTCATCTTTATTTCCCAGGTGATTTATAAACATCTTTCAAAATATATTGTTTCATAGCCAGGTGCTGGTGACTCATGCCTGTAATCCTAGCCACTCAGGAGGCTGAGATCTGAGGATTGCAGCTCAAAGCCAGCCCGGGCAGGAAAGTCCATGAGACTTTTTTTTTTCTTCCCCAGGGCTGAGGACAGAACCCAGGGCCTTGTGCGCGCCAGGCGGGCGCCCTTCCACTGGGCTAAACCCCCAGCCCCTGTGAGACTCTTATCTCCAATAACCACTCAAAAAACTGGAAGTAGTGCTATGGCTCAAATGGCAGAGTGCTTGACTTGAGCTGAAGAGCTCAAGGAGAGTACCCAGGCCCAGAGTTCAAGACCCACTGCGGGGAGGGGGGTGGGGAAATGGATTATACAGATAAATATTTATATTGGGGAAAATATATATATACACATACTGTTTTGTAGTCCTTCCACTAATATCATTCCTTAACATAAAAGGGGGTTTTTGTGTTTGTTTTTTTGTTTGCTAATCCTGAGGCTTGAACTCAGGGCCTGGACATGTCCCTGAGCTTCTTTTGCTCAAAGTTAGCACTCTACCACTTGAGCCACAACACCACTTCCAGCTTTTTCTGCTTATGTGGTACTAAGGAATCGAACCCAGGGCTTCATGCATGATAGGCAAGCACTCTACCACTAAGCCACATTCCCAGCCAAACAGGCTGGGGTTGATGGTGATGGGTTGATGCTGAAGCACAGGGTGCAAAACTTTTGGTTTGGACTACCTTAAGTGAAATGGGTGCCTAATGAAGACTATTACAGAGTCTAAGTTCCAAAATATCCTCCCATCTGCCAATGAAATAAACTACTTATCACATTAGGATAAAAAAGAAGAGGGGGAAAAGCTTAGAAGAGTATAATTAAAGTTTTTCCAAATCTCACAGTCCTCTATTTCAATGGCATAAAAGAATAGAAAATTTATTTCACACAAACTCATTTAATGAAATGGTGATCTACTAGCTTTATGAAAACATGTTAAGGCTTCTCTCCACTCTACTGAATCATTTAATTAAAAGTAAATAATTTTCAACTATAGTAGATCATTAATTTTAAAACCATTACCTTCTCCAAACAGAAGCTTTGTATGGCTTGGGTTACTTTAGGATTATCTGGGTTAAAAATGTCTGGATGATTAGCAAGAACAATATCCTCCATAAAAAACTGCCGCACTGTGTGAAGAGGAATTTTCTGCATATTCATTTTCCTTCCTTTAATACGCAGAAGACCAACGTGTCTGAAATGGAGATAGTAAGAGCTCAGTCCCCATGTAAATTTCCTTATGAAAATGCATAGGTTAAAACTACTTATCACTTTGTTTCTAAAATCAGTCTTACAAATAAATGTTTATTTATTTATTCCTTAACTTTTACACTATGGAATGGTATTAGTGGAAGGATTCCTGTCATTCTCACATGAAAAAAAGCAAACATTCCACTTCCTCATCTAACAGAAGTCAAAACTTAGGATGTCAGCAAGACCCTACTTTTTCTGCAAGTTCTAGAGAGATCTATTAATCTTTTCCAGTATCTGATGTCATTCCTCAGTTGTGGCCATGTCTCCTCCTTCTCTGTGTATCTGTCTGTCTTCGTCCCTTGAGATCTTTATTTTTTTCTCAAAGATTTTTTTACTGAGATTAACTACATAAACTTCACAGTACTGTGGTGTAGTTATATTTAGCTAAACTCATAAACACATTTTAACCTTCACAATGATAATCATCATCATTCTAATCTATATAATTTACGAACTCTCCGAACATTAACAATAAAACTATTTCTTCCAGATCCGGTGATAGGTATGTTTCTTTCCATTTGCTTAGTATCAGCTGTTGTTCCCTCTTTCTCATTTCCTCCCTCCCATCACTGCCCTTGAGTTGCTTAGTTCATTTTTATCCATGTCCAGTGCAACTAATGGCCCAGAGTTCGTTCTTACAAGGGTTAATTATTGTTTTTGGCACCCATTCAGATAATCTGACACAAGCAGCCATGAAACAACTATCAAAAGCTTTACCTCAATCTTCTCTTTTGCCACATAATATTCATAGACTCCAGGGAACTGGAAACAAATATATCTTGGGAGGGCACATGGTTTTATTCCAGCAACATTTGAGCCAGCCCTTTAATGGTGAATAGAAACTTGTCTAATTGCCAAAGGTGAAGGACACATTCAAGTTCCAGTGGCAAGAAAGTCGTGAACCCTCTTGGGAGACCAGAAGTTCATGTGTCAGATGATCACGATAAAGAAGAGGAAGTCAGGCTCTGACAGCAGAGCAAGACCAGGGTATAAGTGGCAAACTACCATATACAGAGCCTAAGTTTTATCCTGCAGAAAATGAGGAACTGTTCATTAAAACATTCATAGAGCATCGGTCACTTTAGTCCTTTCATTTCAAGAGCACGCTCTTTGCTACAGAACCTGGTGCCAACACTCATGCTGCAGAGAAGCCACTGAGCTCACATTTAAGAAGCAAATACCAGGTTGTCTCTAGGATCGCCAGCTCCATTCTTTGCTGACTGTTCTAAGGGGTTACACCATGGCATTTCATAGGTGCATATGCAGTTTTTAATCAGCTGGATTACTCATTTTACTTTCAATTTTCCATTCCTACTGCTCCCTATTTAAGAACTTTCAATAAGCTGTATTTTTTTCTCTTTACTCACAAGTGCACTGTATTTCAGTACTGTTCACCTCTAATATTCTCTTTTCCTTCCCCCTTTCTAAGCTCCTCAGTTTTTTTGTTTTTTTTGGGGGGTCTGGTAGTGGGGCCTGAACTCTGGGCCTGGGCACTGTCCCTCAGCTCTTCAGCTCAAGGCTAGCACTCTACCACTTGAGCCACAGCGCCACCTCCGGCTTTTTTCTTTTTGCTTATGTGGTGCTGAGGAATTGAACCCAGGGCCTCAGGCATGCAAGGCAAGCACTCTACCACTGAGCCACCTTCCCAGCCCTAAGCTCCTCAGTTTTAAAATTACAAATGTATGTAGGTATATGTGATCCTGTATGTAATTGCTTACCTATATGATTGTTTTAAGTCTAGCGTTTACATATGAAGAAACATAGGCTTGAACCCAGCTTACTTTGCTTAACATAACCTCCAATTCTGTTATAAGACTGTAGATAGCCAGATAGAACACACACGCACATGTACAAAACCTAAAGCAACCAAACCTGGGAAAGGAGGGAAACTCAACAAATGATCAAGGGCAGGAGGGGGGGGGGATGGGAAGGGATGGGAAGGGGAAACAAAGGAGGAGGCAACAATGCTTGATAAGAAATGTACTCATTACCTTGCATTACCTTGCCCATGTAATTGTAACCCCTCCGTACAGTATTTTCACAATAAAAAAAATTATCAAGCTTTATAAGTACCCTAATAAACCATTGTATACTGTCCGTATCTTGAACCTAGGGTATGATCAGCAAGTTATTACAGCAAGGATTTCTTAAAAACTTACTTCTTTACAGCTTCTCCTGGAGAAAGAGAAGTAACTACAGAGCTTCCAGGCTGTGATATGTAGAAGAGTTGTTGCTCATTTTTGGTTGGAGCAATTTTACACTCATGTTCATGGCCCCAGATAATGAGATCAATGAAGTCATCCAAAAACTGTTCTGGAATGAAGTTAGTACTTCCATGTTTACTCCTACACCAAGATTAAATAAATAAATAAATAAATTCCTAGAAAAAAAATCTCATATTAAGTCTATATAGATCTTTAAATTCACTGCAAATAACCTTACAGGTATTTATATTAAAAATGGTTTCAGAATTAAGTCACACAAAGTAAATCTTAGTTTTGATTCTTCACTGACAATCTTTAAAAAATAAGGTCATTTTACTAAAGTGGGTGAACTTAAAAACAAATTTGGGAAGCTCACTACTTTGATCAAAAATTTTCAGAGCTTAAGCCCAGTGCTGGGGGATCACGCCTGTAATCTTAGCTACTCAGGAGGCTGATATCTGAGAATCACAGTTCAAAGCCAGCAGGAAAATGAGACTCTTCTCTACAATTAACTAACCACCAGAAAACTGGAAGTGGCCCTGTAGCTCAGGTGGTAGAGGGCTTGCTCTGAGCTGAAGAGCTGAGGGACAGCACCCAGGTCCCGAGTTCAAACCTCACTACCAACAAAAAAATTTCAGAGCTTTACCTGTTTTGATGAATCACAAATAAGTTAAACCAAGAGTTCTCATCTTCTTTTGGTCTCAGCATTGTCACTTTTTTATTGACAAACATTCGATAGAGCCTTTCATCTGGAATGGATCCTGAAATGGGAAATTCTAGCAGTTTTATTTTCTTAGTTTGGTGTTAAAACTGAATGTATTTTGTTCCCAAATTATGTTTCTCAAGAGTATTATTATTGCATTTTACTGTTTTGAGATATGCCTGAATTCTGGAATTGCTTAAAAATAGTATCATTTGGAGCTGGGAAGGTGGCTCAGCGGTAGAATGCTTGCCTCGCCATGCATGAGGCCCTGGGTTTGATTCCTCAGACACATAAACAGAAAAGCCAGAAGTGGTGCTGTGGCTCAAGTAGTAAAGCACTAGCCTTGAGCTGAGAGCTGAGGGACAGCACCCACACCCAGAGTTCAAGGCTCATGATCAAAAAAAAATTTTTTTTAATTAAAAAAAAGGAGTAAGAAGTGGCCTCTTAGGGAGAATTCTTTTAAGTGTGGTCAATGAAATAAACAGCTAATGCTGGATGTAGAACATCTAATTGGAGACAATTGTCAAGGCATGCAAAGCTAACAATAGAAAGTTAACCTACTTAAGTATCAGAGCCTAAGAACGCTGACAAAACCCGGAGGAAAAAAAAAAGATTGAACCTGGGTGCTGGTGGCTCACACCTGTAATCCTAGCTACTCAGGAGACTGAGATCTGAGGATCACAGTTCAAAGCCAGCCCGGGCAGGAAAGTCCATGAGACTCTTATCTCCAATAAACCACTAGAAAACCGGAAGTGGCACTGCGGCTCAAGTGGTAGGGCACTCACCTTGAGCTGAAGAGCTGAGGGGCAGTGTCCAGGCCCAGAGTTCAAGCCCTACAAATTACCTCCTCCCAGCCCCCCACCAAAAAAAAGAGTTTTGAAGAAAAAGAGATGGCCGTTTAACTTGATGGCCTAAACTACAAAAGAGTGGCGTGTTTGGAGGCAGAAAAGTAGTGGGGAGCAAAGAGATCAACAGCCCTCTTCTGCTCAAAACAGGATCCTCAGAGCCTAGTAGAGATGCTTGGAAAGTGGTATGGTAGAGAACACATCTGGAGAAGAAACCAGGATGCTAAGAAACATGCTGATTAAAAGATTATTCTAGAGTGTACAGTCAAAGGGAAAGGTGTGGGATAGATACATGAAAAACTGAGGGTCAGTACCCAGACCCAGGCCTCATGACTGACCAAAAAAAAAAGTACGTGAGATACAAAACTTACAAGATAATAAATGTGATCTTTCATTTTACCTACTAAACACTAAATAAATTGAAGACACTAAAGTTAATAAAGCAGGGGTACAAATGTGGCTTCGAGGTAGAGTGCTTGCCTTGCATGCATGAAGCCCTGGGTTTGATTCCTCAGTACTACACAAACAGAAAAGGTCAGAAGTATCACTGTGGCTCAAGTAGTAGAGTGCTAGCCTTAAGCAAAAGAAGCTCAGGGACAGTGCCCAGGCCCAGAGTTCAAGCCCCAAGACTGCCAGGAAAAAAAAAAAAAAAAGCTAATACAGCAAATAAGCAAATTTTTTGATATTAGAGATGATATAGCTCTAAACTTGTACTGTCCAATAGCTGTATAACACATGATACTACTACACATGAAATAAATAATTTAAAATTTTCTTGGGCTGGGAAGGTGGCTCAGTGGTAGAGTGCTTGACTTGCATGCATGAGGCCCTGGGTTCAATTCCTCAGCACCACAAAAGCAGAAAAAGCCAGAAGTGGCACTGTGGCTCAAGAGGTAGAGCACTAGCCTTGAGCTGAAGAGCTGAGGAACAGCACCCAGCCCCCACCACCAGCAAAAAAATTCTTGTAGTCATATTAAAACTAAAATGGAAAAGTTATTTTTAACTTATCCATTTGTTAATAATAGATTTTGATTTTTCCTTAACCTCTTAAATACTGTGTTTAGTTACAGCAAGCAATTTGAGACCAGCCATATTTCAAATGCTTAGTATTTACATGAGACTAGTAGTTAACATGTGTTGCACCAGACCTTTCAAAGACTTCTAAGACCACAGTTCAGTTGTGTAAATTATTCTGTAATTCAACTGTCAAAAAGAAAAAGCCCAAAACAATAAATAGTAAACAAAAAAAAGTAAACAAAAATTTTTTTTCCACCAAAACTGCAATTAACTAGTATGAACAGCTATTGGCCCTTACTTTAAAACATTTTAAATAAAACCTTCCATCAATTAGTAGTCACTAGTAAAGAATGATCAGATTTATTCTTTTTTTTTTTTTTTAAGTCAGTTGTGGGGCTTGAACTCATGGACTGGGCACTGTCCGTGTCTACTTGAGCCACAGTACCACTTCCAGTTTTTGAGTGGTTAACTGGAGATCGTAGTCTCACTGGGACTTTTCAGCCTGGGCTGGCTTTGAAACGCAATCCTCAGATCTCAGCCTCCTGAGTAGCTAGGATTATGGACATGAGCCACAAGTGCCCACCGGATTGTTCTACTTTTTTCACAGGGCTACAAAGTTAACTTCAAAATTTAATCTCCTAATTGTTTAAACAATTATTTATAGACATAATAGTAAAATAAAGCCATCTTACCTAAACCATATAGAGCAATTTTTGTGCTTCCTTTTTGAAGCAAAACTGGGTTAATGTCTATCTTCTCCACAGACATTGAACGTCCAAAGTGATTTACAAATCCAGCACAACTTAAAATATCCAGAGCACAGAGTGCATCTGCCTATACAAAATAATATTATATATAGAAGAGTAAGTGACCTGAAGAACTATCACATTACTTATTAAAGCAATATATCCTACAGGAAACATATTTCTTACATCCAAAATGAGAATATTTCCGAGTTTGGAGTCCTTATATGTCAGAATATTTGGACAGAACTTACAACTAAGCATCCTAAACCAAAAATCCAAACTGTACAAATTATCCAAAATCCAAAACTGTGTAAGCAGAAACTTTCAGATTTTAGAGCAGTTTGGATTTCAAATTTTTGAATTAGGGATGTTCAACCTGTTCTTACAAAAGTGTAGCTTAAAACAGTATCCTAATCTAGACGTACAACAACTGAAATTACATACCAAATAAATGCCAAGTTAAGATCTCATCACAAATAATTCCTCTGAATATTAAGGCGTTATAAAAAGGGTGGGGGTGGGCTGGGAAGTTGGCTCAGTAGTAGAGTGCTTGCCTCACATGCATGAGGCCCTAGATTTGATTCCTCAGCACCACATAAGCAGAAAAAAGCCAGAAGTGGTGCTGTGACTCAAGTGGTAGGGTTCTAGCCTTGAGCTATGAGGGACAGTGTCCAGGCCCAGAGTTCAGCCCCACAACCAACAAAAAAAAAAAAAGAAAAGAAAAGAAATATTAAGGTATGAGCCACCAGCACCCGCATTAGCAAACATCTTATAGTGAGATTTTAAGAGATAAAAGCACTGATAAACTTAGAAAGCTATGTAAATCCTACTCCTGGCTATTAACTGTTAAACTTGGCTCCAATAAATTAAAGAATGCCTTATACAAAGTCTACATTTTTAAAAAAAAAAATCTGAAAAGCAGCATAAATGCCTATATTAATGACAACAAACTCAAATTGACTATAAACTAGATAAAATACAAGAATGTTTACAACAGATAAATTAATGACTTCTAAAATTTGAACAAACTATAAGTAGTAATTACCCCTGTGGGATCATCATGATTGCCATGAATGCTGAAGACCGGAATTGAAATGTTGAGATTGCCATCTTGGTAGTTCACCCATGGAAACCTAAAAAAAAAAAAAGATGAAATTTTCTATAAAGTACAAAACATTCCCCAACATTGATGCAATAAATAGCAAATGACACCCACATTACAGCTTTATATTTTTAGAATATAGTTAAGTAATTTTTAGTAATAACTATCATAGTCACTTAAACATATTTCCCTTGTCCTAAAACTTTTATCAGTCTTCTTCCCAATCAGTTGTCCTTAATGCCTGGCTGGAGATAACCAATGAATTTCATTTTCTCATTATACACATAGTGTGTCCTTTTGAGAGATTAAAATAGATGTAATATGATATACTTTGCTTTAGGGTCTGCCTTATTTCATTCTCCATGTTTTTCCTATTTTTCCATATTGCTGTAAGGATCAGTTACGCATTGCTTTTATTATTGAATAATATGTCACTATATGAACATATCACAATCTATTATCTCTCTGTTAAAAGACTTTCATGTGTTTTCCAGAGCTCGGCTATTATAAATAAAATAAATAAACCAGACAAGTCTTTGTGAATAGATATATTTCATTTCCCTTAGATAAATATGTAAGGGAATTGCTGAATTACATTGTAAATGTATGTCTAGTACTTTCTAAAAAAACTGCCAAGCTATTTGTCAATGTCTGTATTTCCTTCCTTCCTTGAGAGAGAGAAGGGAGAGACAGAGAGACAGAGATAGGCAGAGAGAGACAGAGAGAGTGTCCTGGGGTGGTTAATTGTATATAAGAGTTTCATGGACTTTCCAGGCTGGCTTTGAACTGTGATCCTGAGATCTCAGCCTCCTCAGTAGCTAGGATTACAGGTGTGAGCCATCAGTGTCTGGCTTGCCAATGTATTTTTACCATTCTACCCTCTTAAAAATCAGGGATGAGGGGCTGGGAAGGTGGCTCAGTGGTAGAGTGCTTGCCTTACTCAAGTGCTTGCTCAAGTGGTAGAGCACTAGCCTTGAGATGAAGAGCTCAGGGAAAGTGCCCAGGCCCAGAGTTCAGGCCCCATGACCAGCAAAAGAAAAAAAAAATTGTTTTGTTTTTTTTTTTTGTCGGTTGTGCGGCTTGAACTCTGGGGCTGGGTGCTATCCCTTAGCTATTTAGCTCAAGGCAAGCACTCTACCACTTGAGCCACAGCTCCATTTCCGGTTTTCTGGTAGTTTATTGGAGATAACAGTTACACAGACTTTCCTGCCTGGGCTGGCTTTGAACTGTGATCCTCATATCTCAGCCTTCTTAGTAGCTAGTTTTACTTACAAGTATGAGCCACCAGTGCCCAGCTCTAAAATTTTTGTGTAAGAATTTTCTGAACAGAGAGGAAAGCATGACAATACATATCCTTTGGAATCCAAATGACATAAATTAACAATCCCAGCTATCACCACTTTCTATCCAGGCAATTTAATCTTCTACCTACTCCTACTTCTAACCATCCAGTTCCTGTGGTAATTAATGCTAGCACTTTCTATTACACATTTTCAAAAATATGTCTCTACATGCTTTAGAATACATTTTTTTCCTTCTTACATTAATGGCAGGACCATATAGATTTCTATACTCTCCCTTAATCACTAAACATAGTTTCGAAAACATGCCATAGTGATAACCTCTATAAAGAGCTTGCTTTTACATTGGTTTGCCTATTTTCCTATATGAATTAAGTTAACTGGAAGAGGAAGTTAAGCAGAATTCAATACAAGGCAAAGTAAAACAGTAAGAGCTATAGGTATAGTTCAGTGGAAACTGCTTGCTTAGACTGTGCAAGGCTCTATGTTCAATCCCCAGGAATCTCTCCTCTCAAAAAAAAAATCAAATAGGAAAGAATGGAATACAATGTTTGAAAAAAATTAATGGATAAAACTGTTCAGAATTGCTGAACAAAAAATCAAAATGCCAAGAAACAGAATTAACTCCATCACTAAATAAGACTATAAATGCTACAGATGAAGAGAAAAATCTATTTATAATAAGTATGTTAGTCTTTTTTTTATGCCAGTCACTATTCTATTCATTAACTCAATCTTCACATCTCTGTAAATTGGCTTATGTATTAATTTATAAATGATGGACTTAGTCAGGCACCCGGTGGCTCACACCTGTAATTCTAGCTACTCAGGAGGCTGAGCTCTGAGGATCGTGGTTCAAAGCCAGCACAAGCAGTAAAGTCCATGAAACTCTTATCTCCAATAACTACCAGAAAACAAGAAATGGCACTGTAGCTCAAGTGGTAGGACACTAGCCTTGAGCTGAAGAGTTGAGGGACAGCGCTCAGGCCCAGAGTTCAAGCCCCACGACTGACCCCCCCCCCAAAAAAAAAAGATGGACTTGAAGTAGAATGGTTAAGTGACTGACTCAGTCCAATTAGTTACAAAACCAGGATTTGAACTCAGAACACCTATTCTAACGTCTTAATTACCATGTCTCACTCCCTTTCCTGCAACTATACTTACAGTAGACTTCTCAAAAGCAATAAATGATAAGCGTTCACTCCTTATAGATACTCCATTACAAAAATTACCATAAGCTATTTCAGAAAAAGCAAAGTACCAGGAATGGTGGTACACAACTATAATTGTAGCCTCTTAGAAAGCTGAAAGAGGACCTTAACTTCAAGGGCTCTCTGGGGAACACAGTGAACCCCACCTCAAAAAATAAAGAAAAAAGGATTGGCTCAGGGGCTGAGGCTTTGTTTGGCACATGTGAGGTCCTAGGTTCCATCCCAACTTGGGGGATGGAATATAAGAAACAATAGTTAGGAAAAAGGCAAATATGGAAGTGGTGCTGTGGCTCAAGTGGCTGAGTGCTCACCTTGAGCTGAAGAGCGCAGGTACAGCACCCAAGCCCAGAATTCAAGCCCCATGACCAACAACAACATAAAAAGGCAAATATGTCTACAGGTCTGTTGGGGTAGAGAAAGCAGTTTAAAAATAGAGTATACTTCAAAAATAAGATGAATGAAAAGGAAACATAAGTAAAAAATGTTAAATGTTACAGAAATCTTTTAGAATGCAATTCTAAATAAAATCACTAATTACAAGTTAAAAATAGACATTTCTTACAAAAATCTTAAAGTTTGTCTCCCAAAGTAATTTTTAATGTTTCTCCCAAAATACTAATAACATATATTCCTATTCTGATTATTTCTCCCTCCAGAAGTAGAATTGAATTCCCCTCCCTCTGAGCATGGGCTGGACTTAGGTACTACTCACTTATACATAGAAAGAGAGAAATAACTTTACCCTGAAGAAACCTGTCAGTCACCTCCACAACCAAACCATCAATGTTAAACCTCATCAATAAAAACTCCTATCCATGCATATACCTACTGACACTATCAAATGAGCCTCATTCCCCACTATTCCAATGTACAGAAAAACAAGAGAACATAAAACAGTTACAAAAATGCTTGACAAGTACTTTTCAAAAGTACCATCATAAGAGACAAAGAAAGAAAGAGAACCGCCGGGCACTGGTGGCTCATGCCTGTAATCCTAGCTACTCAGGAGGCTGAGATCTGAGGATCCCGGTTCAAAGCCAGCCCAGGCAGGAAAGTCCGTGAAACTCTTGTCTCCAATAAACCACCATAAAACTGGAAGTGGCACTGTAGCTCAAGTGGTAGAGCGTTAGCCTTGAGCTGAAGAGCTGAGGGACAGCACCCAGGCCCAGAGTTCAAGCCCCAGGACTGACCAAAAAAAAAAAAGAATGCGAACCTGACACAGGAAGGAAATTTAGAAAACATTCAATGTAATGTGTATCTTGAACAATAATCAAGAAAAAACAATGGTTTCTTTATAAGGCTCTGGAGGAATACTACTAGAATAAGATAAACAAGCACATATCTTTAAGAAAATGAATGATATATTTGACTACATCAAACTTAAATCTTAACAAAAAAGCCCATTAAACAAAGTCAAAAGACAAGTTGCTATTAAAATATATATACATGATTAATACAGGCTTATTATGTTGAATATGTAATTTCTGGAAATCAGGTATGAAAAGACAAAAATTGCAATTTTCACGTTAAATTATGATTATGAACAGAAGAAGACAGCAAGAAGGAGAAAGAAATCTAAGGAGTGTGATAAAAGGTTAAGATTGATCAAACACGTGTGAAGATATAACAAAGAAATCCACCCCCCCACACCGTATTACAATACAAGCTAATAAAATGTAAGAAGACATGTAACCCCTAGTATTAAATGCAAACTAACACAATGGTATATACAGAAAACTCAAAGAATTACATTTGATATGAAACCAGACTACATGGAAGATTTAATGGTTGTTAATGTGTGTGTGTATCACAAAGAAATCACACCTAAGTTAACACCCACTTGAGTACATAAATATACTTACTTACTAAAACCAAAGTTGACTGACTGATCACTGATGATTTCAAACTGCACAGGACGATCACCCATACAATATTTTCTTAGTAACTCAAGGCAGGTATGCAATGTTTTCCTTGAGGGCTTATTTTCATGAAAAAGATCACCACCTAACAAAATGAAATCCACCTAATAAATGGAAAAATGGTGTTAAAATAAGTTTTAAAGGCAAAAAAAAAAAAAAAAGAAAATCACAGATAAAGGAGAGAAAAGAAAAAGTTTTGTTCCTAAGCATAATTCCATTCCTTGGGAGGCTGGGGTAGAAGGATGATGAAGTCATTAAAGGCCAACCCAGCTTCCAATGCTCTTGTACACAGAAACCTTGTCTCAAATCTCTGCTTCCAGAACAATATAAAAAATTGTATTTAAACCCAGGCACTCATGGCTCAAGCCTATAATCCTAACTGCTCAGGAGGCTGACATCTGAGGACTGTCATTCAAAGCCAGCCTACACAGGAAAGTTCTTGGGACTCTTATCTCCAATTAATGCACAAAAAGCCTGAAGTGGAGCTGTGGCTCAAGTAGTAGACTGCTAGCCTTGAGAAAAAAAACCTCAGGGAGAACAGCTAAGTCCTGAGTTCAAGCCCCAGGATGGGAGTGTGTAGGCACACACATGCATACTGTGCACACACATTTTAAAAGACATTATTAAATGTCTTAAAATTTTGAAACCTTATGCTTCATTTACTCAAATGGCCTTTCAATTTGGACCTTTCAAATCAAGACAATTAAGCTGACTCTTAGATTTGAGTTGTTAGTGAACAGATATCATTTATGCAAAATTTTAGAAGTTCTAAAGATTAACTGTACAGCAATATGAATGTACCTAATACTATGAAACTGCACACTTTAAGGTCAGTAAGTTTTATATACATTCTACAACAATGTAAACATTAAAAGATGTTTTTTAAATATTTTAAAGGACTTTAAATGATTTTTTAAGTTACTTTAAAGGCTTGACTCACTTCTGTTTGTATTCCTGCTTTAAGTGCGAAACCTACATCTAATCATAAGGAAATGTTATCCAGACATATCCAATTTGAGGACTATTGAGCATAATAACCAACCTGAACTTTAAAAAACATCAGGGCCATGAAACACAAAGGCAAGCAAATGTACTAGATTAAAAGAGAATGTCAAGTAAATATAACACTTAATTCTGACTTGAGTCCTGGACACAACCGATAGACAATCTTGCAGCATCTTAAAACTAAAGGAAGTTTTGGTATGTGTGCTACGGTTAAACATGGAATTTATTCTCAAATACAGAGGAAGGTTAAGAAGGAGATTGGGAAAATGGAAGAGGAACTGAGGGAGAGAAAAAAATTGAGAGGCAGAAAATGAAAGAATAAAAAAAAAAGAGGGGAGAAAGAAAATGAGATAAAACCAGGTACCAGTAGCTCATCCTAGCTACTCAGGAGACTGAGATCTGAGGATCACTGTTCAAAGCCATCCCAGGCAGGAAAGTCCATGAGACTCTTATCTCTTGTAAACTACTCAAAAAAGGTTTACATGGTGCTGTGGCTCATATGATAGAGCACTAGCCTTGAACACAGAGAGGTTTAGGGACAACTGAGTTCAAGCCCAAGGATGGGGAAAAAAAGAAAATTAGGTAAAATGTTAAAAATCTGGGTTAAGGTACAAAATTCTTGGTAGTAGACAGTTTCTTTTTCTTCTTTTTTTCTTTTGTTGTAAGACAGATTATTTCAAAATTGTTCCAGCATGAGGATACTGAAGAGAAGGGAACAGTGAAGAGTAATGAATTTGAGAAAAAGTATTGAAAATGAAAGGGAAAGGGAAATAAAGGCCAAAGAAACTTGGCCTCTGAGAGAATTGTTTTAGGGTTTAAGAGTCACAAAAGAAAAAATACATGCAAGATTCTGTGGGAAGGAATATACCCGCTTTGTTAGTTTTTCTGCCCCAAGCAAAAAAGAGATAAAAGCAGCCATTCCTTCACTCAATAAATGTATAAATGTAGTGAGCCAAACCCACCTGCTAGTCACCTAACCTACTGCTTCTTAGATCCTTTCTAGGTACGAGGATATAGTATAAAGAAGCAGAAACAAAGTTTGAGCATCATGGTACAGCCTGTAATCCTAACTTCTTAGAAGGTAGAAGATCAAGAGCTCCAGTCCAGCCCATGTAAACTTAATGAGATCCTGCAACAAAAAGGGTTGGGAGCATGACACAAGTGGTACGGTGCTTTCCTACCAAGCACGAGTACTGGGTTTAACTCCAGTACTGCCAACATCAACAACAAAAGAGTTCTACTTTAAGTAATGTTATAGAGTTCCTGGAGATATCAAAGAATCCTCTTCAAAAAAGCAAAATGTGACCTGAGAAGTCAGCCCCCGCAAGAGCAGGGGCTGCAGCAGGTAATCCAACCTACACTGTTGTGGAATGGAACATGCCTGCATGGACAGAGCAGGATACACCAGGCCAGATCAAGTTAGTCTTGTAGTTTCAATTTATTCTATAATTAATAGGAGGCCATTTGGGAGATTTTAAGCAGTACAGTGACAGAATTTGACTTATGATTTTAAAAGTGAATGGATATAGGGGAAAACAATGAAAATAGACAAATGGGCAACAGTCTAGGAAAAAGAATGACAAAAGATATTTCTCTGTGTGTGTGTGTGCTTGAGTTTAAATCAAGGGCCTCACACTCTCACTAAAGGCTGGTGCTCTACCACTTAAGCCACACGTTCAATTCCAGCTCTTTGGTGGTTATTGGTGATTAAAAGTCTCATGAACTTTTCTGCCCTGGCTGACTTCAAATCTCACTCCTTAGATCTCAGTAGCTAGAATTACAGCTGGGAGATACTAGTACCTAACATAAATTTTGTACTAATTTTATAGATATGAAGATAGAATAGCAGACAGATGCTCAGGAAGAACAAAAGGACAGATAAAACTGAATAGAAAATCTCCAGAAAAGTTAAGGCTGGATGTGTGGTGTTGTGTCAGGCAGCATCACTATCCACACGGACATTTCTCCCAGCTCTGCTCCATCTCTCCAGACAAGACCCCATGGAGAAAGAGAACTGGACATGAAGTAAGGAGGTCAGGTCTGGCTGGTGCCATATTGGCCACATGGGGGATGGCAGGGTCTGGCATTTGTCTTCATGCTGGGGGAAGGAAATGTCCCCACCTCCCAGGTGAGGGGTATGTCCAGATTCCTGTAGGCAGAGGCAGGCACTTGGCTGATAGGTAACTGAATTTGTCAATCAAGTACCTGGGACTGGGAATTTCCTTTGGACCTGCCCCCTGCACTGATCCTATTTAGGCCTAGACCAGCACTGGTGCCATTAAGCCATGCCACGTGTGTCTCCATGATCAGGTCTGTCTCCTGTCTTCAGTCTCATCTCAGGTCATCATGGCATCCCAATTCAGCTCTAATAGAGAGCTGAACTGGTTTGTTGGTATTGTTTTTGTTCATTCTTTCCTTGGTAGCCTGTTTCCTGACCATGTTATGTATATTTGGGGGCTGCAGGCCTTTGTTACTATGGGCAACCAGCAGACTGCTTAGTCTTGTAATAAAGACTCTAAAATTCCACCTACCTAAATGTGGCTTTGCTAAGTTACCTTACAACAGACACAAACTACCAGGCCAATCACATAAAACTCTCCTGTTGTCTCAAGGAAGAAAAAGAGGAGATTACTGGGGCTGTTGTTTTTGCTGGTATACAGGGATTTCTCAGTGCAATCCAAGAGCCGCAAGCTGAGAATCTCTGAGAAATTACTAAAATTGAGAAACAGCTGGGCACAGTGGCTCACACCTGTAATCCTAGCTACTCAGGAGGCTGAGATTTGATGATCACGGTTAAAAGCCAACCCAGGCAACAAAAGTCCTTAAGATGCTTATTCCCAATTAACCAGAAAAAAAAAAAAGAGTAGCTGTGGTGCACATGGTAGAGTGAGACTTGATAGGGACAGCACCCAGACCCTGAGTTCAAGCCTCAGGACTGGCACAAAAAAATAATAAAAATAAAATAATTGGAAATCAGGACTCAAAAGCTATATTTTGGCAAGCAACAAGATATCTTAAGAACGACCATGTGTGACTTATAATTGGAACTTTGATTGTTAGATATAATAAAAAAAAGTTAAGCTGGAAATATTAGTTTGCAGGTCACCAATATTTATGTTTACTCTTTAGTTCTCTCTCAGCTCTAGACTGACACTTAATTACCTGCTAGAATAAGTGTAAATAAAAAATTCATTAATGTAAATAAAAGTCCACTCTCTACACACACACACACACACACACACACACACACACACACACACACTGCTCTCTATCTTTCTCTCTTTCTCTCTCTCTTACACAGAAATAGTCATGGGGCTTGAACTCTGAGCCTGGGCATTGTCCCTGAGCTCTTCAGCTCGAGGTAAGCACTCTACCACTTGAGCCATAGTGCCACCTCCAGTTTTCTGGTGATCAACTGAAGATAAGAGTCTCATGGACTTTCCTGTCCAGGCTGGCTTTGAACCACAATCCTCAGATCTCAGCTTCCTGAGTAGCTAAGATTACAGGTATGAGCCATCGGTGCCTGGCTCTTCACATAATTTTGGTGTGTGTGGTACTGAAGGCTTTCAGGGCCTTTACCACTTTAGTCACACCCCCAGTTTTGTTTTATGGAGGGCTTGTTAATTTTGCCTGGGCTGGCCCCAAATCACAATCCCCCTACCTCTGCTTGCTTCAGGAGTTGCTGGGAACATAGGTGTTTCCGTGCCCAGCTTGCTTTTGAGATAGGGTCTCATTAAGTTTTACACATACTACTAAGCTTGAACAGTGATTCTCCTATTTCTGCCTCCCAAGAAGCTGGGATTGTTTCACATACTTATTTCTACTATGGTATCATCATTCACTCTCAGACTCAATATAGTTGAGACACTCTAATACCTTTCCCCTCATTCTCAAGCCCTCAAAATTAATCAAAGTTTGCCAAGCCTATTTTTTGTATTTCTCCCATTCACTTCCTTCCTTCCCATCCTGAATGCCACAATTTTTTTTAAAGCCCCAATTAAGTCTCCACAATTCATACTGTAATGCTCCTGCTGAGAGACTCAAATCTTACAAATTGCACATTCTAGTGAACTAGGCCCTGAGAGGAGACTGGAGCTGGGACTGCTTCCTTACAGGTTTTTTGTTTTAGGGATTATAGAAAAAAAAACAAAAACCCTGGCTCCAACCAGCCCAGTTCTTGGAATGAAAAGAATGCCTCTAGGTCCCCCTCTCCTTAACGACTTGACCCACCTTCATTGTTCTGTTAAGGACTGACCAACTAAACAGGTAGCCAGTAATCCAGCTCATGCTGGCCTGCTGGCAACATCCTGAGTTTACTATAAACTCCGCCTTTTCACATGTATATGTTAAACTGCACTAAACTCCTTTGTGTATGTTTACCTGCAACCGGCTTTACCTTTGAATTTGTGAGTCATTTAAACCCAAAATGGTAGGCTGGTTTAAACAGACATTATGTGACAAAGTGTAATCTCACTGGCCACCTGCGTGTGGTCTGGTATGACTGTGCAATCTTTTGGGTGTGTGACAATCTCAATGGTCGCCTACATGACAAGCCTTCACCTTGTGATTTTTGCCTTTAAAAACCTAAGCATGTGGGCCGCTCGGGGTCGCAGTATCAGCTCCGGAGCCTGTGCTGCGGCCCTGGCCGGTCAGTGTAGGAACCTTCTCAATAAAGTTGCTTCTTTAATACCAACTTTGTTGCGGTGGGCTCTGTCACTTCGGACAACTAGGTGGGCTTGCCTGCCTGAGTAGGGGTCTTCCTACTACACTAGCAGTTGAAGCCTTCCTTAATGTAGTTCATACCCTTCTTTATAAGACTTTCAGCACACATTGCATGTAGGTGAACCAAACCTACCTACCAGTCACCTAATATGTCTCACATCAGGGCCCTAACTCCTGCTTCACCTAGAGCATACATTCTCTATGCTCTCTCAGTCACGAAGTCTATGTTTCCTTGAAAGTTTTATGGCTCTTATTACATATTGCATATGAGTATTCTGGATATGCCTTATCTCCCATTATGGCCTGTGTATGTTCTTTAAAAACAAAACCATGAAAATAATCTTCTCATTTCAAGTAGAAGTTGCCATAGTATTATCACATTTATTTTAAGTACTTTGTAAGGATTTATAAACCTTAAGACTGCTTACCAAAGTACTTCTTGAATCAGGACACACAGCACACAAAATTATCAGGCAATGTGAGCATGTGCGGGAACCTTTAACGGTAACTCTAACTTAGGAGAAAAGAGAACCTGTGGACTAAGGAAAGATAGCCAAAATCAAAGAAATGTGAATCAAACTTACTTCATTTTCTTGGGCAAGTCTTAATATTTCATCAAATGTGACAAATGTGTCAGGTCCTCTCACTGCATCTTTCTCCATAAATCCAAGATGAATATCCGTAGCAACTAAGATTTTAAATGTATTTTCATCATCACTGAAAAACAGTGCAGTGTTTTTTTAAAGTTCAACGTGAAAAGTATTAATAGTACAGTCTATTCAAGAAATTTGAGAGTACAGTCAAGCAAATTGGGACGTTAGCATAAAATCACAGCAGTTATGCAGTAAAATCATTTTTCTAGCCTTAAACTTGGGTCTGAAAATTGGAAGTATTCAACAGATCTTTAATATCAGATAGTTTTCCTGATCATGAACTTAATACAGAATGTGTACAAATTTTTAAAAGGTTCTATTAACTTCTCAAAAAGTTATAACCTTATTAAAACAGATACATATATAGGTATATATATAGATATATCTCCCAGACCTTAAATCCTGCTGTTTTAATACTCCATTCTACCACCAAAAAAAAAAAAAGCTTCTATCCTGATTTGGTGTTTTAGAATACCAAAAAGAAAAATCATCAAAAAGAAAAAAATTACTGCAGGAATCCAATATACAGCTACATAGTCCCTTAAGTTAGTAACATATAGTATAGATTTCTAAACACTGGGAGTGTTCTTTGCAATGACTAATACTTCTGCTCATAGTTGTTATTTTTGTCTACTAAATAAGTTTTTTCTTTTTGACATACTAGCTCTTGGACTCAGGCCCTTAGAGTTGACAGACAAGGGCTTTAGTTATTGGGCTATGGCTCCCAGTCCAATTTTCTCTTAAGGTGATCATGGTTCATAGATTTCAGATACTCAAAAAGATTCCAGAAGTTAACAGGCTTACAGTGGATCTGCAGGACTCATTTTTATGGTCGGTATAGAACCTCTAGGACAGGCTTCTCTCGGCGTATTCTTGGGTCATGTGTTCATAGGTCAGCAAAGAGGCACTTGATTTCAAATTCTAAAATAAAAACAATTATAGCACGTTTTAAGTGGAAAAAAAGGCTTCATATATATTCTATTTTACCAACATGAATTAAGACGACAGAGCAGTCTTCCTAGCCAAGCAGACTGGCAATTCTGAAAGTCTTACGATCTTCTAAGAACCTTACGTTTAATAGGCTAAGAAAACGTATTTCCGGTGCCACTCCAACTTCACTATCACGCTTAAGCTATCTCATCTTCACTTTCCTTGCTTTTAATGTGAAATTAGTGTTAAGTTAAATGAATGGGCAAAGAAAGGATCGAATACGGTTCAGGTTCAACACACAACCCGGGATAGCGAGAAACATCCGTTTCCTGCCGGAGCACAGGGTTCGGTTTCGTTTTGTAAGATAAGCTAGCTATTGGGAGGGATGGACCCCAGGTTTGAAGCCGGAACACACATGTGGTTCGAAGCTACACCGCCAGTGCCAGCGGGACCCGGGCTACCGGGTCCTGCGTCTGCTTCCGGCCCAGGACGAGCCTCGCGGGCCCCCCGCAGGGGGCTCGGCCGCTGGGCTGAGGGTTGGACCGGACCGCGGGGCCTTCCCGCCGGCCACTCCGGCCCGGCTCCGGGCACCAGCAAACCCCAGAGACGGAGGATACCTGCACCAGGTGCTCCGAAGCCCACCTCGGGGGCTCGAAGGAGTCCCACGACCCCGGAAATGCAGGTGCTAGTCGTCTGAGCAGCGACGCGCGCGATTTCGCCCGCCCGCCAGGCCACCGTCCCCCCTACGAAGCGCAGCGGAGGCTTCTCGCGAGACCTCTTTCAAAACGAGGGCGCCTCAGGCGCCGTGGGTTTTCATTGGCTGTCTACCCCGGAGGGGGCGGGGCGGAGGTACCGCGGAAGCGGAAGTGCGGGAAAGCCAAGCCTCTTCCTGGCTCATTCACACACACGCCCGCCCACTCCCGGTAGAGCTGAGTTAGAAGTGGGAGCGTCCTCATGCGAACCCCGGGAAAGCGTCGTGACTCCTGAGTCCGTGGCCCGCGCTCTCGGACGTTTGGAAAGGCGCAGGAACGGCTCCTGTGCGGATGCGCAGGGTATTTTAATTAAATCATGTTATTTATTTCAAGTGTTTGTCTGTGTGTTGGGGCGGGGGGGGGGGGCGGGTGGACACTGTGACACTGTCCCAGAGTGTGCTTTTGCTCAAGGCTAGCACTGTACTACTTGAGCCACAGCTCCGCTTCTGGCTTCTTGGAACCTCAGCCCTGCTCCTGCTGTTTCTGTCTCTGCTTTGGCCCATCATGAGACAAGCAGCTCTGCTCCACCAAGTGCTCTTCTCCATGAGGTTCTTCCTTACCCGAAGCTCTGAAACCAAGAGCCAAAGTAAGTCATGTCTATGTGTGTGTGTGTGTGTGTGTGTGTCTGTCTGTCTGTATCTGTTGATGTGCCAGTACTGGGTTTGAACTCAGGGCCTTGGCTTAGTTTATTTGTCTGTCTGTCTGTATCTGTTGATGTGCCAGTACTGGGTTTGAACTCAGGGCCTTGGCTTAGTTTATTGGCTAAAGGCACCTTCATTTCTGTCTTTTTTTCTAGTTAATTGAAATAAGAGTCACTTAAGATTTATCAGCCTGGGCTGGCTTCAAACCATTGTCCTCAGATCTCACCCTCATGAGTAGCTAGGATTACAGGTATGAGCCACCAGTGTCCAGCAATCTTTTCTTCTTCGTTTATTTTCTCAGCTATTCTTGTAGCAAGCTGACACACTCTATACACAGAACCAAAGAGTAAGCTAGAGTAATTCCTTTTATGACCTAGCATATTATCTGTCATGTCAAATGTGTTATGTGCTCTTTTTCTTTGTGCCGTTCCTGGGAACTTGAACTCAGAGCCTGTGTGCTGTCGCAGGCTCAAGGGTACCATTCTACCACTTGTGCCATATTGCCACTTGCAATGTTTTGGTGGTTGATTGGAAATAATAAGAGATAAGAGTTTCATGGACTTTCTTGCCTGGCTGTATTGAATATGGATCGTTAGATCTCAGCTCCTTGATTAACTAAAATCATAGACATGATCCACCAGTGCCAAGCCTCATGTGCTCTGTAGAATTCATCTTACTTGATACAGTGTATCTTTTTCTTGTTGTTGTTGTTGTTGTTCTTGGTCGTGGAGCCTGAACTCTGGGCCTGGGTGCTGTCCCTCAGCTCTTCAGCTCAAGGCTAGTGCTCTACCACTTGAGCCACAGCGCCACTTCCAGCTTTTTCTGCTTATGTGGTGCTGAGAAATCGAACCCAAGGCCTCATGCATGCAAGGCAAGCACTCTACCACTGAGCCACCCTCCCAGCCCACCGTGTATCTTTTTAAAAAACTTAACTTCCTATCTTACTGATAAAACACTGAAAGTTTTTCCCTTAGTTCAGGAATAAGAAAATGATGTATGCTGACATACATCTTATTTATCATTGTACTGAAAGTTCTGGTTGAGACAACAGAATCACCTTCCTTGGTGATTCTGGTGTGAACTTGGAAGACCAGAATGCTGGCAGAAATGCAGACAAGTCTGCTCACAATTTTCAAGTGGAAATGAAGACTCTACTGGGATGGAGATAGAAAGATGCACTGGTGCTCCGTAACACTTTTTGTGCTGTGATTCAGGTGGAATGTCTGTTTCTAGGCAAGCACTCTACCACTGAGCCACCTTCCTAGCCCCTGGAATGTCTGTTTCTGATTAGGATTCCTTCTTGTGTGTGGCTCCTATACTTGCTTGTTTCTGAGTGGGATCCACAGAAGGAAAACTCACCATCTTCCCTCCTCACACGTGGGGTTAAGATATACTGAGTTACGCTGTCTCCAGGCTTCAGACACTGGTCCTCTTGATTCTGACTCGGATCTAAGGTGTCTGTATTTGCAGGAGGATTGCACCATCCTCCCTGGCTTTGTCCAGGTTCGGACATACTTGTTCACTGTTCTATAGGTTTTTCTTCTGTTGGACACTGACTGATTTCTTTTCTTCACTCAATATTATCTTTGGGCAGTTCAGCTTATGCTTAGGTATAACTTGAAGTTCCTTCTAGGAGCTGCCTATTTTCCTTCAAGGTCACTAAGTACCAGATGCTTCCTTTTTCCTACTAGAAAATCTTCTCACTCAGATTTCCAGGCTTCCCATAGCAGGATTGGGCTTACTTTTCCCTTGTTAGACAATGAACATGGCCACAGGGAAACACAGACATTGGAAGAAATAGAGATATGGGGAAGGAGCTACACAACACATGTCCTGGTTACTAGACATATGTTTTGAAAGTGACTCTCATTGGTTTACCTGCCTTGTGGGCTATAGTGATGAGCTGTCCTAAACAGGAGCTCTAGCTGCAGGAGTGTCTCTATAGGAGGGATTCTATGTCTAGACAATGGCAGGAGCCATCTTCCTTTGAGACACACTATCACTATCTACACACTCACCCCTCTGCTGCATTCTTTATAAGGTGGTGTGGCCAACTTACAACTAGCCTTGACAGCACACTGTCTTGGTCTTTTCTTCTGTAATTTTTTTTTTTTTTTTTTGCCAGTCATGGGGCCAGAACTCTGGGTCTGTGCACTGTCCCTGAGCTCTTCAGCTCCAGGATAGTGCTCTACCACTTGAGCCACAGTGCCACTTCTGGCTTTTTCTGCTTATGTGGTACTGAGGAATCGAACCCAGGGCCTCATGAATGCAAGGCAAGCGCTCTACCATTGAGCCACCTTCCCAGCCCCTGTAATTCTTCTAAATGGTTTGACGTGCCTTGTGTCTAGTTCTTTGTGTCCCTATCACAGGACCTAGATCTACAGAAAGGTTGTCAGATGTGTCTGTCTATTCAGGACATCGTAGGATATCCCTGCTTCTCTTCTGTTCCTCACTACAGTTTTATAGACCCCCTGGCCCTTTTCCCTCTTTCTGGCACTATGTGGGTTCAGCCATATACTTTATAGGACTGGTGTGTCATTAGTCAAAAATGGATCCTTCTCTGTTTCTGAGAAGAACTTCTTCACATTTAAGACTCCACCAAGGGGCTGGAAAGGTGGCTCAGTGGTAGAGTGCTTGCCTTGCATGCATGAGGCCCTGGGTTCAATTCCTCAGCACCACATACGCAGAAAATAAAAAAGCCTAAAGTGGTGCTATGGCTCAAGTGGTAGAGCGCAGCTGAATTGCTGAGGGACAGCACCCAGGCCCAGAGTTCAGGCCCCATGACCGGACCCCCCCCAAAAAAAACTTTTAAATTGTAAATATAGAAGTTGTTCTGAGAGTCCATGCTTGATGCACCATGGATAATTTATGCACAAGCTTTTTTTTTCCCCTTTCAGCAAGTTCCTTCTCATTCTGAATTCCCCAGTTATTCACTTTATTATTTGGTGTCATTAAGAGTTTTACCCTAGGGGCTGGGAAGGTGGCTCAGTGGTAGAGCACTTGACTTGCATGCTTGAGGCCCTGGGTTCAATTCCTCAGCACCACATAAGCAAAAAGAAAAAAGCCAGAAGTGGCGCTGTGACTCAAGTGGTAGAGCATTAGCCTTGAGCTGAAGAGCTGAGGGACAGCGCCCAGAGTTCACGACGGGACCCAAAAAAAAAAAAAAAGTTTTACCCTACGCAAATGATGTTTTTCAGATAACTGGCATCTATCCAAACAAAGACCAACAGTTTTAAAAACTTTAAAAAACTGAGTTGCTTTAAAAAGGCTTCACTAGATGGATAATCCTTTTTGTTCTCAAGTGTTTCTGAAAGTAAATAAGAGAACACTGCAGAAAGCAGTTTGTTTTCATCTAGTGGCCAACTGTTACTCTTCTAATGTCTTCACATATAAATTACTATATTCTATGTGTGCTGGTAAACTTGTTCAAAATTAACTGGAAATAAGTTGAGTGGTTCTCAAGAATAAAGCATTTTGGTCACTTGGACCCTCTAATGATGGAGGGTCTGAGTGTTTGGCAGAGGTGGCCTCATCCCTGGTCCTCTCCCCAGGCCCAGAGACAATCCCCCAACTCCAGTTATGCTGAACAAAGTCTGGAAGCAGCTGACTATGAAGTGCTATCTGTGCAAGGGCAGCTACCTCACAAGAGGATTCATGAGTACATCATCTCAGTGCTCTACAACCTTGGCCACGTCTTCCTGATGCGCTTCAGGAAGCCTGCTGTGTTCACCAGAGGCTGATGAAGATGCCAGTCAACAGGACTGCACTGGAGCTGTGCACCTTTGCCCTGGCAGTCACCAGGGTGCTGTGCTGCTCTCACCCTTCCCTATCATCACCAATGGGGTTCTGCTCTCACTCCCACACAACTACCACATCCAGTGATTCCATGACTCCCTTATTCATGGCCTCTGCAACCTTAATCCTTCTCCAATTTCTCCTTCATCTTTCTCACACGCATTGCATACTCCAGAGTCTGAGGGCTTTGCTAGCTCCAGAAAGGGCTATGAGATGGTGGTGATGTTGATGTTCCCTACTTAGCATCAGCCATTGTGGACAAGGCAAGCAGAGTCACTGACTTCTGGGATTACCACCTCCCCTATCTCCACTCCTACACCTCCTTCCTTAGGGCTCTGTTGCTCCTGGTGTGTACCCCAGTAGGTCTTGCCCTCATGTTCTCCTTCATAGGAAAGCTGCTGGTCAAGCTCCAGCTGTTAGATGGGAAAACATCTGAACTGTTCAGGCTGAGGCAGCTCTAACCTGTAATCCTACCTCTTGCTGGCAGGATCTGTAATTCCACCTCTTGCTGGCTGCCTTTATTCAGAGCTGCTGAAGACAGGTCCTGGCTGTTTGGGGTC